AGACTAAAAGTGAGGGGATGGAAAAGGGTAGCCCATGAAAATGGAAATCAAAAGAAAGCTGCAGTAGCAATACTCATATCAGATAAAATAGACTTTAAAACAAAGCCTATTAGAAGAGACAAAGAAGGACACTACATAATGATCAAGGGATCGATCCAAGAAGAAGATATAACAATTGTAAATATTTATGCACCCAACATAGGAGCACCTCAATACATAAGGCAAATACTAACAGCCATAAAAGGGGAAATCGACACAAACACTTTCATAGTAGGGGACTTTAACACCCCACTTTCACCAATGGACAGATTATCCAAAATGAAAATAAATAAGGAAACACAGTTTTAAATGATACATTAAAAAAGATGGACTTAATTGATATTTATAGGACATTCCATTCAAAAACAACAGAATACACATTTTTCTCAAGTGCTCATGGAACATTCTCCAGGATAGATCATATCTTGGGTCACAAATCAAGCCTTGGTAAATTTAAGAAAATTGAAATCGTATCAAGTATCTTTTCCGACCACAACGCTATGAGACTAGATATCAATTACAGCAAACGATCTGTAAAAAATACAAACACATGGAGGTTAAACAATACACTACTTAATAACGAAGTGATCACTGAAGAAATCAAAGAGGAAATCAAAAAATACCTAGAAACAAATGACAATGGAGACACGACGACCCAAAATCTATGGGATGCAGCAAAAGCAGTTCTAAGAGGGAATTTTATAGCAACACAATCCTACCTTAAGAAACAGGAAACATCTCGAATAAACAACCTAACCTTGAACCTAAAGCAATTAGAGAAAGAAGAACAAAAAAACCCCAACGTTAGCAGAAAGAAAGAAATCATAAAGATCACATCAGAAAAAAATGAAAAAGAAATGAAGGAAGCGATAGCAAAGATCAATAAAACTAAAAGCTGGTTCTTTGAGAAGATAAACAAAATTGATAAACTATTAGCCAGACTCATCAAGAAAAAAAGGGAGAAGACTCAAATCAATAGAATTAGAAATGAAAAGGGGAACAACTGACACTACAGAAATACAAAAGATCATGAGAGATTACTACAAGCAACTCTATGCCAATAAAATGGACAACCTGGAAGAAATGGACAAATTCTTAGAAATGCACAACATGCCAAGACTGAATCAGGAAGAAATAGAAAATATGAACAGACCAATCACAAGCACTGAAATTGAAACTGTGATTAAAAATTTTCCAACAGACAAAAACCCAAGACCAGATGGCTTCACAGGCAAATTCTATCAAACATTTAGAGAAGAGCTAACACCTATCCTTCTCAAACTCTTCCAAAATATAGCAGAGGGAGGAACACTCCCAAACTCATTCTACAAGGCCACCATCATCTTGATACCAAAACCAGACAAGGATGTCACAAAGAAAGAAAAATACAGGCCAATATCACTGATGAACATAGATGCAAAAATCCTCAACAAAATACTACCAAACAGAATCCAACAGCATATTAAAAGGATCATACACCACGATCAAGTGGGGTTTATTCCAGGAATGCAAGGATTCTTCAGTATACACAAATCAGTCAATGTGATACACCATATTAACAAATTGAAGGAGAAAAACCATATGGTCATCTCAATAGATGCAGAGAAAGCTTTTGACAAAATTCAACACCCACTTATGATAAAAACCCTCCAGAAAGTAGGCATAGAGGGAACTTTCCTCAACATAATAAAGGCCATATATGACAAACCCACAGCCAATATCGTCCTCAATGGTGAAAAACTGAAAGCATTTCCACTAAGATCAGGAACAAGACAAGGTTGCCCACTCTCACCACTCTTATTCAACATAGTTTTGGAAGTTTTAGCCACAGCAATCAGAGAAGAAAAGCAAATAAAAGAATCCAAATCGGAAAAGAAGAAGTAAAGCTGTCACTGTTTGCAGTTGACATGATACTATACATAGAGAATCCTAAAGATGCTACCAGAAAAGTAGTAGAGCTAATCAATGAATTTGGTAAAGTAGCAGGATACAAAATTAATGCACAGAAATCTCTGGCATTCCTATACACTAATGATGAAAAATCTGAAAGTGAAATCAAGAAAACACTGCCTTTTACCATTGCAACAAAAAGAATAAAATATCTAGGAATAAACCTACCTAAGGAGACAAAAGACCTGTATGCAGAAAATTATAAGACACTGATGAAAGAAATTAAAGATGATACAAATAGATGGAGAGATATACCGTGTTCTTGGATTGGAAGAATCAACATTGTGAAAATGACTCTACTACCCAAAGCAATCTACAGATTCAATGCAATCCCTATCAAACTACCACTGGCATTTTTCACAGAACTAGAACAAAAAATTTCACAATTTGTATGGAAACACAAAAGACCCCGAATAGCCAAAGCAATCTTGAGAATGAAAAACGGAGCTGGAGGAATCAGGCTCCTTGACTTCAGACTATACTACAAAGCTACAGTAATCAAGACAGTATGGTACTGGCACAGAAACAGGATGATAGATCAATGGAACAGGATAGAAAGCCCAGAGATAAACCCACGCACATACGGTCACCTTATCTTTGATAAAGGAGGCAGGAATGTACAGTGGAGAAAGGACAGCCTCTACAATAGGTGGTGCTGGGAAAACTGGACAGGTACATGTAAAAGTATGAGATTAGAACACTCCCTAACACCATACACAAAAACACACCATCCTCAAAATGGATTAAAGACCTAAGTGTAAGGCCAGAAACTATCAAACTCTTAGAGGAAAACAGGCAGAGCACTCTATGACATAATCACAGCAAGATCCTTTTTGACCCACCTCCTAGAGAAAGGGAAATAAAAACAAAAATAAACAAATGGGACCTAATGAAAATTCAAAGCTTTTGCACAGCAAGGGAAACCATAAACAAGACCAAAAGACAACCCTCAGAATGGGAGAAAATATTTGCAAATGAGGCAACTGACAGGGATTAATCTGCAAAATTTACAAGCAGCTCATGCAGCTCAATAACAAAAAAACAGCCAACCCAATCCAAACATGGGCAGAAGACCTAAATAGACATTTCTCCAAAGAAGATATACAGACTGCCAACAAACACATGAAAGAATGCTCAACATCATTAATCATTAGAGAAATGCAAATCAAAACTACAATGAGATATCATCTCACACCAGTCAGAATGACCATCGTCAAAAAATATAGAAACAATAAATGCTGGAGAGGTTTGTGGAGAAAAGCGAAGACTCTTGCACTGCTGGTGGGAATGTGAATTGGTACAGCCAATGGAGAACAGTATGGAGGTTCCTTAATAAACTACAAATAGAACTACCATATGACCCAGCAATCCCACTACTGGGCATATACCCTGAGAAAACCATAATTCAAAAAGGGTCATGTACCAAAATGTTCATTGCAGCTCTATTTACAATAGCCAGGAGATGGAAACAACCTAAGTGTCCATCATCGGATGTATGGATAAAGAAGATGTGGCACATGTATACAATGGAATATTACTCAGCCATAAAAAGAAGTGAAATTGAGTTATTTGTAGTGAGGTGGATTGACATAGAGTCTGTCATACAGAGTGAAGTATGTCAGAAAGAGAAAAACAAATACTGTATGCTAACATATATATATGGAATGTAAAAAAAAAAAAAGGCATGAAGAACCTAGGAGCAAAATAGTAATAAAGATGCAGACCTACTAGAGAATGGACTTGAGGACACGGAGATGGGGAAGGGTAAGTTGGGACAAAGTGAGAGAGTGGTAGTGTATATATGGACATATATATACTACCAAATGTAAAATAGATAGCTAGTGGGAAGCAGCTGCAGAGCACAGGGAGATCAGCTCAGTGCTTTGTGACTACCTAGAGGGGTGGGATAGGGAGACTGGGAGGGAGACGCAAGAGGGAGGAGATATGGTGATATATGTATATGTATAACTGATTCACTTTGTTATAAAGCAGAAGCTAACCCACCATTGTAAAGCAATTATACTTCAATTAAAATGTTAAAAATAAATAAATAAAAGTTTTTAAAAATTAAAATAAAATAAAGTGAGCACATCTGGCTCTCAAGACCTTGTCTACAGGATGTGTCCTCACCTGCCTTCTTCAGGGCTGTCCTCAACTCGTGGGCATCAATGGTCCCCGAGTGGTTATAATCAGTTTCCCGATAGATCTCGTAAAGTAGAAGAAAATTTCCAGGTAGAAAACAGCTTTTTGTGGCCCCTGCAGAACCATCTCCCTCTACCCCACCACTTCCTCAGAAGGCCAGGGACACCCTCAGAGAAGCCTTCACTGATTCCTCCCAAGAAGTTTCCAGAACAAAATTAAGAGCTTGGGCTGAGGGCCGGTGCTAGTCCTTTTGCCCTGTGAACAGGGGAACTTCCTGTGACAGCACTGGCACATTGACAGCACTTCCGTTGACAGAACTGGCAATCTCTCATTGACTCCTTAGTCCTTCCTGAACAGTATGTCCAGGTTTGGTGTTGCCTTTGACCATGATGAAGGATCTGGTCAGACCAGGGCAGCAAATAGATCAGGAATGGGTGTCACGGAAGGCGAGGGTCTAGAAACAGAACAGAGGACGGTGACAAGAGCCCAGAGTATGCACAACAGGGAGAGGGGTTACCAGCTGCTTCTGAATCTTCAACCAGAGCATCTTGAATTCCACCAGCCCCAAGGTGCCCGTCCTATTGCTCTAAGCAGGTTAAAGGCCAACATGATCAAGCCCAGATTCCACATGCTCTATGGATTTCGTTCTCTTGTGACCTTGCACAGTGAGTGTCTGAAGACCTCAGTGAACATCCGTGTCTGTAGTAAGAAGGGCCCTGGGGTCACGGTGGGAAATGTTGGTGGGAGACAAATTCAAATAAAGATTAAAGAGTCAAACACTCACCAAGGCCCTCCTTTGAGGTCAGGTACAGAGCTAGGAGCAAAGGGCAAGTCAGGAGCCTAACGCCCTCCGTTCATTAGCATCCAGCACCCTCGTCATCCTGGGTCATCGAGGGGTTGAGCTCTATGGTCTGTTGTAAATTCCCTTCCAGATTTAAATGTCTGGTTGATATTGATGTCATTGATAGTTGATGTCAAAATGTTATCAGAGGGACTTCCCTCGTGGTCCAGTGGCTAAGACTCTGTGCTCCTAATGCAGGGAGCCTGGGTTCGATCCCTCGTCAGGGAACTAGATCCCACATGCCACAACTAAGAGTTCACATGCCGCAACTAAAGATCCCGCATGCCGCAACGAAGATCTCACACACGGCAACGAAGTTCCTGCGTGCCACAACTAAGACCCGGCGCAGACAAATAAATAAATATTTTTTTAAAAAATGTTATCAGAAGAGTCCTCAGGAGCACGGGATTGGGATTCTCTGCCACACGGTCTACAGATGTTTGTCTGGTGTCCTGAAGGAGCTCTGAGCTTCTCAACACTGATTCCTGGGACCCTGGGACATGGTCCCAGGAACACAGCTGGCTCATAGGCCACTGCTCAACCCAAACAGGCCAGGGTTTGTGTGCAATTCTCTGTGTCCAGCAATATTGATTAAGCACTGGGCTCGACCTGGGGGGCTGGTTTTGAACTGTCCCCACCCTCATGAAGTTCAGTCTCTTTGAAATTCTACCCTTTTCTCAGCCATCCCAACTAATCACTAGACACCAGTGTGTTACAGCTCAGATGTTAAAATTCTGAAACAGAACATCATTCCCACCTCCTTCAACTAGCTAAACAAAAAGTCACGTTTACACCCAAGGGTATAAACCTCACCCTTTAAGAAAGTCTGTGTCCTTATTTCCACGATCCACGCTGAGTGTTGGATGGACCACAGCCTTCAAGTCCTAATACTTTGACCAACATACCTGAGAAGAGTAGTCTACAAGGAGTGCTAACGCTCTGGTCTAGCTAGTCCCATGTATACTTGTATCTCATTTCATCCTCACAAGCTACATATTGTTATTCCATTTTCCGGGAGAAGAAACTGAGGTTCAGAGCATTCAATAACTGCGGTGGAGCCAGAACTTGGACTCCTGTCTGTTCCAAAGCCCTTGTCCCAGAGCACCAATGTATCCTCAATCCCAGATGGAATTGTCTACAGACTCCCGGGCCCCATCCCAGACTTAATGAATCAGCATCTCCAGGAGTGAGACTCAGGCAACTGGATTGTTAAAACCTCATGGTTTTTAAGTGCTGATACATGCTATAGTGGACCACATGTTATATGATTCCATTTCCATGAAAATATCCAAAACAGACAAATCTATAGACAAAGTTGTTGTAGGGCAGAGGGTTTCAGGTTGTTGAGAGGAAAAGGTGAGTGACTGCTAATATGGGTGCAGGGTCTCTTTTGGGGGTGATAAAAATGTTCTAAAATGGGTGGTTGATGTTTATACAACTCTGTGAATATACTAAAAACCATTGAACTGTACCCTATAAATGGGTACATTGGGTGGTATGTGAATTATATCTCAATAAAGCTGTTATATTTACACAAGGCTCCATGGGCAGCTCTGCTGCATATCCGGGTTCGGAACCACTGCCCCAAAGCATCCAAACCGTGGAACAGACCCTCTTGAAGAATGACTGAGTCACGGTCCTCCTGGAGCCATGAAAATGCAAATACCCCTGGGAACAATGAGTGACTGACTACAAGGTCACCCTCAAATCTAAGTTAAAGTCTATAGGCAAGTTTGAGAAGAATGATTCAGAAATCAAAGAAATATTTGTAGAAAAATGAATCGACGCTTAACAGTTCTTTGTGGCTCACGAATTAAACTGTGGACCATGCCGACCTCATAAAAGGACACAGGGCAGGAGAGTCCCAGCGTCTGAAGCTCTGGGACCACAAGGATAGCACCCGCTCTCCGTGGCTGACACCCCCAGCAGAGGGCAGCACACGCGTGCTGGCTAACCAGGACTCCTCTGCATGACTACCGTGTAAGTACAGTTCATTCCCACCACCCCACAGGTCATCAGATCTTATCACGGATGAAGCCCTCAGAACTGAGGGGCACCCTCCTAGGCTCCAGTTTTCAAAGAAATCACCTTCACCAGCAGCACCATGGAGAACCGTAACCTGGACCCACCTGAGGCCAAGTTTCAAGTAAGTGATGTTCCACAGTTCCCCACTCTGCGCTTCATTTAAGCCGTTCCTTCCACCTAGGATGCCCTAACCTTCCCCATTCCTCCCCGAGTCTCTTACTCATTCTTCAATACACAGCGAGGGTTAAACTGGGTCAGAGTGACAAACAGGTTTTATCCTGTGTGATATTTCTCAACTACTGGTGGTGGCCGTGTCAATACTGGGAGACAAAGACAGACGGGGATAGAAACAGCCGGGGAGAAGGAGGAGGGAGGGGCCTCGTGGGAGGAGCCTCGTGGGAGGAATACTGTGATGAACAGGAGGAGGGTCACAAATGCCACATAGTTGCTGTCTTTGAATTAAAGGATTTTAAACAAGTCACTTCAACAGGGCACACCTCAGTTTCTTCACCTGTCAAATGGATCATCTCGCGCTTACTGAGGAGCAAAAATGAGATGACATTTTCCTTTACAGCTCAAGCAAGTACCTGCCGTATGCTCAGAAAATGCTGGTTCCCTTCTCCCTCTTTCCCTTGCCTCCGTCTCACTGGGAGAGGTGGAGGAGTCCCGAAAATCAGGATCAGAGTAAAAATAATGTGACATTTAAAGGATGCATCCATCAGGCTGATCATCTCCCTGCAAGTGTTGATGTTGAATCCATCGAATTTGATGTCTGTTCCTAAATATTTAAATAGAAAAGAAGGGAGGAAATCAGGATCATTTGAAGGCAGGGGAAATAATCTCCCTGGTAGGAAGACAAGGACGCCAGCCAGAGTACGGAGCCAGATGTGAGCGCCACAGAAGGGAGAGAGCATGGCGGCGGGCTCCTGGGCAGGGCCCCCTGGGGGTGGCACAGGTGGGCACTGGCATTGGGGTTCACTGTCTGAACCTCAGCTTTGCTACTCACAAGCCACCGGGACTTCAGCAAACTAATATCTCTGAGCTTTGGTTTCTTTCTCCATCAATAAGAACAGTACTTGCCCCCAAAGCTAATTGGGGCTAAAATGAGATAATGGAAGTGAACTTCTTAGTACAGTGCTTGGTGTATAGCAAGTTCTTAATAAACCAGCTAACTTTTTATTGGCTAGGTATCGTTCTAAGCACTGTACTTCTACTCCTCCAAATAACCCCATGTGGTAGATACTTTCATCCCTATTTTATAGATAAGGAAACTGAGGCCCAGAGAGGTTAAATAATTTGCTCAAGATCACACGACCCAGGCAGAGCTGGGACTTAAACGCAGGCCACCCGTCTCCATAGCCCAAGCTTTCAACCATGACACACAGCCTCTCACACGGCAGCTGTTATCCTTACTGCTAAATTGCAGGTATCTCCTGGGAGCTACAGCCATCCCTGGCTCCATACTCACCTTGCCCACACCTGAGAGCCAAGGCAGGCAGGAACCAAAGGCCCTGCAAATCCTCTCTTCCTCCCTGGGCTCTTTCTCTGCAAGGCAGGAGGGAGAGCTGGAGCAGGACGGGGTGTCTCTGAGCCTGCGCCTGGGCTCTGAGCCCTGGGGAGCTGCTCGGCCCCAGGTGGGCTCACACCCGGCCTTGCCCCTGCATCCTGCATGCTCACCCCCTGTCCTGTTGCCATGGGTGAACATGCCCATCACTCAACCAGGCGGAAGCCTGACCCTGGCCCAGCCCTGGGCCCAACAAGAAGCCAGTTCCGTGCCAGCTTACATGGGGCTGCGGTTCAGAGGGAAGGAGCAAGGCTTTCCTCAACCTGGGTGCAGCTGGATCCTCTGACAGCCCCCAGGGCTTGCTAAAGTCTAAAGACGGAGAACTGTCACGACCTAGGACAGTCAGAATCCTCCCCTCCACACGCTTTGCCCAGGGATGCGCTACAGAACAAGATCTTCAAGCTGCGCAGTTTCCCACTGTATCAAAGTGATAAATTTGGCGGGAAAATTTCACTTACTCTCAGCCCAACTTCTTTCCTCCCAAGACTCAGGACTCTTTGCTGCAGGGCCAGTTGGCCCCAGCACAAGCCCCACCTTCATTCGGCCCAGCACCCCTCCCGCTCCAGCCTCTCCCACCTGCTGGACGCTCCATCAGCCCAGAGGGAATCAGGGCCCCGGGCCAGAGGCCAAAGGCCCCTTGTGCCCATCTGCAGTGCCCCTGGCCCAATGCCTGCACCCATTCTTACCCCACCCCCACCCCAGCATCTGTCTTAGGCTCCCAGACTTCCTGAAAAGCCCCAAGGAAGAACTTACGTTTGGAAAACACCTCATTCAGAGCCGTCTTGAGTTCATTGACACTGATCTCAGAATCCTAGAGAGAGGAACCCAAATGCAAATCACGTCAGGCCCTGACAAGCGTTTCAAGACATTAAATTCATGTAGAGTCAGACACCAGGTCCACTGACTCTATGATTTTAAAAGGCTGCGACATCTTTTAAAAACTCCAATTCACAGTTTTTCTGGGGCCCCTGTAGCCGGGTGGGAAGTGTATATTAATGGCATGAGTGGGGTACACCTTCTGCAGAAGGCTGCTCACGGTGCCTGCTGCCCATCTCCGGGCTTGCCTAACCCAAGACCAAGACATGGCAAGAAGCAATAATAGGAGGCAGTGCTGACGGGCCACACGCCTGATGTGGGACATCCTCAAACCCTCACAACAGCTCTGCACCCATGTTAGAGTTAAGGAAACTGTGATTGCTAAACACCATATACATTCACCATGTAATTGTCATTTCCATGTGATGTAACTGCTGGGGGTTCACAGCCACCAGTGGCAGAAACCTAAGACTGTCTCACCCCAAAGTGCCGCTTTCCCCACTGCACCTATGGGAGTTGCTATTTCACGCATAGCCCATCTCAAACTGGAAGTAGAGATTTAGGGGAGTAGGATTTCCCACGTGCATTTGGGATAAACACTGAGCCAGTAGGATGGTTCATCCCTTAACTCTGAGCTGGAGGGCAGACCTCGGGCAGGATGATGAATGAGGCTCAGAGAAGGGATGCTGGACTGAGATCTGGGTTCCAGTCGTGACTCCGTCCCTTACTCTCCATGCGACCTTAGCCAAGTCACTTCCTCTGGTGAGGTGTGGTCTTATCACTTGTCCCCATGGGACCCCACTTCTCCCTGCCTCCACCAGCCAGGCCCAGGCTATTCTACTAGAAACCAGGGAGGTGGGAGCTGCACAGGGCAGCCTTGCCTGTGAGCACAGCTGGCCTCATTCAAGCACGGCACGGTCAGTCCCAATAACAAGACCTGGGGACCCTCTGAAAAGCCTCCAGGCCAAGAATGGGATGTTGAGATCTTGGCCTGTCCCTCACCGGGCCTTGTGCCCCAGCAAGCTCCTTAACTCTCTGTGCCTGACCCTTCACCCGCAGAGCAGGGACAGTGACCGATACTGTCCCACCAGGAGAGAAAAGATAAGGTACGTGAAGAACTATACAAATAGGAACTTTTACTTTGTTATCAGTCTTGATGTTCTAAATAAAATATGGTCCCTTGGCAGCTAAGGCAACAAGGTTTTGTTAGCAAAAACACTGGTCTGAGCGCCCAACTAAAACACAGATTGACTCATTTTTGCAAAGCTTCTTTTAATGGCTATATAAAGGAATTTTGTTCCCAGGTTTTATCTTCTGCAAGGATTCTGATGTATTTTCTTCTACGCTATCCTTAAATCTAGAAAGTGGCTCTGAGCTTCCCTGCAGGGTGAAGAGCATTGTTTTTACCTTCTGTTATGGACTGAATGTTTGTGTACCCAAAAATTCATATGTTGAAATCCAATCCCCAATGTCATAGTATTAGGAGGAGAGACTTTTGGGAGGTGATTAGGTCATGAGGGTGAAGCCCTTTTGAGTGGGATTAATGCCCTTATAAAAGGAACCCCAGACAGATCCCTCACCCTCTTTCCACCTTGTGAGGACACAGTGAGACTTCAACAGTCTGCAAGCTAGAGGAAGGCCCTCCCCAGAATCCAACCATGCCTGATCTCACTTCTAGCCTCCAGAACTGTGAGAAATAAATTTCTGTTTATTCTGTTTCATACGCTTCCCAGTCTGTGGTACACTATTATGGCAGCCCAAGATGACGGATGCCTTCCAAGGCCCTTTGGCAAACCTTATTATCCTTCAAAGAGCAGTGCATTCACTGTATCTATGGGGCCAGTTGTGACACTTGCAGTCCTGAGTCTGCTCTGACTTATGGCCTCACAGGACTGGAATCACAATAAGCTAAGTCAGCAGGACAGGGAGGGAAGAAGCAGGGGGCACACCAGCATCTTCCCCTGGCTCCGTGTGCCCCTGAGCGGTGCCGGCACCTGAACCAACTTGAATTCCGCAGCCCAAGCTCCGCTGGTGTCCCTGAGGGCAGGCAGGGCGGCGGGCCGGTGAACACCAACCCCAGGCCAGGTTAACTGAGCCGCCTGCCACCTGGGCTGAGCGATTCCTCTCATCTCTGAAGGATATTGATATAGGGAAGTTTTGCCTCCCCGCTTTTTATAAAGTCAGGGCTCTGATCCAACAGGGCCAGTTTACACACAGAAAGGCTTTTGGTAGGATCTAGAGATTCGGATTTTCTGTGTTCTCAAAAAGCAGTCAACACAGCAAGAAAAATGGCCTTGGTCCCAAGATTCCTCTCCCCAGCAGTGCAGGAAAGGCCTCTCAGGTTTAAGACAGGAAAGTGGCAACAGACAGAGTTGGGGGACCGGAGACCTGCGGCCTCATCGTTTATACTCACGGAGATGCGAGGGGAAAGACTCAGGTGAGCTGAGCTTTCCAGAACACTCTCCTGCCTATCTGGGAGCCTGTCTATGCCCTGTACTCACCTTCCCTGCAAGCTTCTCAAACAGGCTCCAGAGCTGGCCGTCTTCTTGTCCACCTCATTGGGGTGTGGGCAATTGCAAAGTTAAGATGGGACTCGTTGAGGAGAATGAAAGACAAAGATTTAAAATTCATTCGCTCGTCACTCACTACATCTGTCGCATATCTGTCGTGTGTCGGACACTGGGTGGATGGGGGTACATGACAGTAAACAGGAGAGGTCCAAGGTCCTGGCCCCAGGAGCTCTCCATCCAGCAAGGTCCAGGGGTCTAGGGGCTTCCTCTATCAGCGATGTGAGGAAGTGATCCCCACCAACCCTGAATTTCTGATTTCAACCCTGAATCGCTTTCAGAGATCGGTGGCAACACTGACAGCAGAGAATCTCGGTCTGGGTCTGTGGGTTCCTAAAAGAGATTCACTGATGACCTTCAAGGGGTCTGTGAACTTCAGGTATTGCATGAAAATTGGGAGTAACGTTAACATGTGTTTTCTTAGCCTTCACCAGATTCTGAAATAGCAACATGATTAAAAAGGAGTTAAAATCACAGCCTAGTGGAAACAGCAGAACTGGAAGCCAGAAGACAGGAGTTCAAACACCGCACTGACCAATTACGAAACTCCATCTCAGGGCTCTGACATCCATTTCCTCAAGTCCAGTATTAAATTAACTAGGCTTGTTACATGGGGTCATTTGAGAATCAAATGAGAACGAATGTGTGTCAAAGTCCTTCGAAAATTGCTAATCATCATATGAATGACTGTCCAGAGACTTTCTGATATGACCATGGGCTCTTTGCAAAATGGAATGAAACTCCTCAACTGTCATCACCAGACAGAAAAGTCACAAGTTTCCCAGATGTCTTGAAGAGTTTCAGAAAACCAAGTCAATTTCTTCCAAAACCATCACTCAGGAAAGTACAAAAGACCTGATCTGGCCCAATGATACTGTACTATTAAGAGTAGCAGCGGTAGTGATAGTACTTACCTTTGTTGAGCACTTACTACCTGTCAGGTACTATACATAGATTGGTTCATTTAATACTCATGAGTACTCTATGAGATCGGTCTCATTGCTATCCACATTTCACAGATGGAGAAACTGAGGTTTAAAAGTGTTAAGTAACAGGCCAAGATTACACAGCTGGTACATGGTGGAGGCAGGATTCAAAGTCAAGCTTGTGCGCTGTTTCACCAGCCACCAGTCTGACCCCCAGAGCAGCTGCTCTCAGCATCCTACTGCAACTCAACCTCGCCAGGGCTCTGCTTCCTCGTCGATAACACAGGGGTTTTAATGCCTATCATACTGTTTACATTTATGAGGAGTAAATCCAAAAATACATCTAAAGTTTTTAGAAGAAATGATAAATACTTCTCATCACACATGTATGATTTTAAAGTGGTCTTGTAGAATAAAAGCTTTATATCATCCATGTAATAAAATATACGATAACCTGAATCTAGTGTGAAGTCTACGGATTCTGAACATAGAGTAATATTCTATTATTCTGGGGGAAAATAAGTATGAACTGGAAAGAAAGGAAAGAAGGAAGGGAAGGAGGGAGGGAGGGGGGAAGAAAGAGAGAGGAAGAGGGACTTCCCTGGCGGTCCAGTGATTAAGCCTTCACCTTCCAATGCAGGGGGTGGAGGTTTGATCCCTGGTCAGGGAGCTAAGATCCCACATGCCTCGTGGCCAAAAAGCCAAAACATAAAACAGAAGCAGTATTGTAACAAATTCAATAAAGACTTTAAAAATGGTCCACATCAAAAAAAAAATCTCTAAAAAAAGGAAGAAATAGACTAGAGCTATACATTTCAATAAGGATAAATCTCAGCGCTGCGGTTGGGCTGGCTGCTCAGACCCACCTTCTCCAGCTCTACAGCACCGGCCTTACTATTCCTGCCTTCCAGTTCTACTGTTCTCCCTCAGGGACTGGGAAGGTCCTGGCTATAGAAGTCAACTGCAGTAATAGGGAGGATTCTATTAAAGCAACTGTATGGCCTTCTTACCTAGGAATCATGCAGACATTCAAATACTGTACTTATAAAAATTACACAAGTTATACATGAAAACGTGCAATATCAAAGCATATTAAAAGTTCAAGTCCCCCTTGGAAGGGGGGGCGGTGGGATGAATTGGGAGATTGCTATTGACATTTGTACACTACTATGTATAAAATAGATAATGAATGAGAATGTACTGCATAGCACAGGGAACTTTACTCAGTGCTCTGTGGTGACCTAAATGGAAGGAAATACAAAAAAGAGGGGTTATATGTATATGTATTGTTGATTCTCTTTGCTGTACAGCAGAAACTAACACAACATTGTAAAGCAGCTATACTCCAATAAAAATTTATTTTTAAAAAGTGAAAGAAAAAATGGACACGGGCACAAACGGGTGCATAGCAGGTACTTCACCACTAGGGGATGTCATTGCACATGGGAGTTTCTGGATACCAGGGAGAAAGATGCTTTTAAATGATGGCATACATGGTCTGGCAAACGGTACTTCAGTTCGTTCACTCCTTCAAAAAAATATTTACTGGACACCCGGCACATGTTGGGAACTGTTCTGTATCTGTGTCTGAGATGTAGTGGTGAACAAGACATGGTCCTTGCTCTCAAGGACCTTAACGTAGTGGAATTATCTGTTGCTCTGAGAAAATATACATGAAAACGCTTTGGAAATGGTAAGGCAACCTGGCAAAAACAGGTATTATTTTACTGTTGTCATATTACATGTTGACAGCATCTTTGCAACCCTTCTCTAGTGTGTTTGTTCAATTGCTTTCTTTTTTCCCTCCCCCATTCCAAGCAGGCCCTTTAAATGTCCAGCTGTCCAAGTCTTGAAGATTTCTGGAGGGAGGAAAACAGAAGTTCTTGAAGGCAAGGGCAATGGCTCTTCCTGTCTCCTGTAAAGTCTTAAGTCCCCTGAATATATTATCCCTGTGGCGTGTGTGTGTGTGTGTGTGTGTGTGTGTGTGTGTGTGTGTGTGTGTCAGGGGGAGGGGTACCTTAAAGAGAAAAGGCCAAGTTTCCCTGAGACCAAGAAGATGTTGGCCGTTCCCAGGGCCCTGAAATATGGGAACCCTTGTATGGCTCCATACATATGCTCTGGGGACCTCAAGGGACGGTGGTCCCCTAGGCCTGGCGACTCCTAGTTTACCAAAGATTCTAAGCCGCAGACCTAGTACAGAAGCCCAAGAGCTGCCAGACATGAAGGAGCTGAGCTGAGACAGTGGGCATCTCAAGGGAGAACAGTGAGGACCCGTGACTGGTACAGACTTCCTGGTGTTTCAGAAAACCCCAAGACCATGGGAGGTGGAGACGGTGCACCCCGACAATGACTGATATTGAACTCCTGAAATGGGGCTTTAGTAAGTTTTGGGGTTTTGTTGTTGTTGTTGTTTTTGCGGTACGCGGGCCTCTCACTGTTGTGGCCTCTCCCGTTGCGGAGCACAGGCTCAGCAGCCATGGCTCACGGGCCCAGCCGCTCTGCGACATGTGGGATCTTCCCGGACCGGGGCACGAACCCGTGTCCCCTGCATCGGCAGGCGGACTCTCAACCACTGTGCCACCAGGGAAGCCCAGTAAGTTTTTTTTATTAAAGTGTAGTTGATTTACAATATTGTGTTAGTTTCTGGTGTACAGAAAAGTGATTCAAATATATATATTCAGAGTATGAGAAAGAATATATGTATATATTTTCTTTCTCATATTCTTTCCATTATGGTTTATTACAAGATATTGAGTATAGTTATACTAGGTCTTTGCTGTTTACCTATTTTATATATTGTAGTGTGTATCTGTTAATCCCAAACTCCTAATTTATCCTTCCCCCTCTTTTCTCCTTTGGTAACCATATATTTGTTTTCTATGTCTGTGAGTCTGTTTCTATTTTGTAAATAAGTTCATTTGTATCATTTTTTTAGATTCTACATATAAGTGATGTCATATTATATTTGTCTTTGTCTGACTTACTTCACTTAGTGTGATATTCTCTAGGTCCGTCCATGTTTCTGCAAATGGCATTATTTCATTCTTTTTTATGGTTGAGTAATATTTCATCATCATATATACCACATCTTCTTTATCTATTCATCTGTTGATGGAGACTTGAGTTGCTTCCATGTCTGGACTATTGTAAATAGTGCTGCTATGAACATTGTGGTTGCATGTGTCTTTTCGAATTAAGGTTTTCTCTGGTTATGTGGCCGGGAGTGGGATTGCTGGGTCATGTGATAGCTCTATTTCTAGTTTTTTTAAGGAACCTCCATACTGTTCTCCATAGTAGCTGTACCAATTTACATTCCCACCAACAGTGTAGGAGGGTTCTCTTTTCTCCACACCCTCTCCAGCATTTATTATTTGTAGAATTTTTGATGATGGTAGAGTCAGTTTTAAGTTGATTTAGCAGGGAAAAAAAAGGGGGAGTGGGGGAAGGATAGTTCTTCCCACCTGAATTGTGGACTCAGATCCACACCCTCCACACTGGCACACTGGCCTTTCTAACACACTTGGGACCACTAGGAGGAGCAGCTACTGTGAGAGACAAGGCCTGGGGGGCAGTGAAGAGGCTGAGCTGGCATCTACCTGCAGTGCGGAAGGGGAAGGGGGCAGGAGGGAGACCTCTGACCAGCTGGGACCACCCAGAGGCAGAAGCACAGAAAGGGCCTCTGGTGCCAGGAACTGCAGCTGACTCAAGGCAGGGGCCGCTACTGACCATTAGCTTAACTACTGGACACCAAGTCCAGTTCAGAGACTAATGGGAATGAGAAGGAACAGACAATGGGGCACACGTTTTCTATCTAATAGACTCACGGCATAACTGCCCCGCCCCCAGGGCAAGATAGGTCCATCTTTGGCATCTCCTCATGCATCTGCAGAAATAAGAGCTTAAAGATTTGATATATGCCAAATAATACCACTACCCCTCACAAAACAGCCACACTCAACGTGCTGCCTCTGTGCACCGCATCTGAGAAACAGGGCAAGGAGGGAGGGGCAGAGGGAGTGAGGCAGGTGAACCCACAAACTCTGTGCATTTCTTCCTCCAAAGTCTGCTCTGAAATGACCTCCCCCACGGAGCCTCCCAAAGGAGGTGTTCACTCCAGCACCCTCAGACTACATTCACACAGGCTTAGATCCATTGCTGGCGTGAGCTGCCCTTCATCTTTTTCCTTATGCTTCTGTCGTTTGTCTAAAAGACTGGATGGAGGTCTGTCTAAGAGCAGGGACTAGATCTCTTTCTCCCATCGCCTTCTCCATCCCACCCAGAAGTGCTCAAGCTCACAGCAAGTGCTCTGAGGATCCACCTGCCTGAATGTGGGGGACACTCAGACTCCCCCTACGGGGTAGGAATGTGTTACAAAGCCTGGGTTCCAGGTGCTGCGTCTATCTCATCTTCATCAGGAAGAGTCAGGACCTAGAAAATGTTGTGGCCCTGATGAATAAAGTTATCGTCCTCAGTATATAAAGAGCAGTTATGAATCAATAAGAAATCCCAAATGACTGCTATGCATCAGTGTCAGAGCTTGGCATACTAAAATGCGGCATACCTCATGTGGGCTTCCAGCTACTACATCCCCAATTTCCCTAAAACACAAAGAAAGAAAAAAACAAATATGAGTAAGTCAAACATACAGCTAATGGCTAGGTTCTTTTAGGAAGTTTTTAGCTCTGCTGAGGGATTGGATTCCTACGCAAGACCTTCAGTTCCTACTAGCACCAAACTGCATAAACTGAACCAGGACCCCTTCCTTCACCTCCCCAACCGCCCCCCCACCCTGAGTTTTTCACCAGAGACACGAACTGCCAAGTTCAGTGGGCACCCCATGGAATCTAGAATGTTCCCCCTGGTGGATCACTCTTCTGGGGAATTCTCTCCCCACCTTGCCCCAGTTACTATTCTCATCTTCCCCTAGTAACCCAGCTATGTGAATCCCTGTTGAAATGGTGTCTGAGGAGTAAGCCACCAAGCCCACAGCCCACGTGTCCATGCACACACGCACATGGTTTACGTGGTGCCGTGTGGTGTGTGTGTGTGTGTGGTATATGTGGTGTGTGTCTGTGTGTGTATGTGTGTTGTGGATGTGTATGGTATACGTCTGTGTTGTGTGTGTGTATGTCTGTGGTGTGTGTGTGTGTGGTGTGTGTAAGGGAAGAGGCGGTGCTCTCATCTAGATCCTCCTCTATGAGGTGCCCATCCCCGCTGCAAGGAAAACGCTCTAACCAGGCTGTTACTGGTGCCCTTTCTCTCTAGCCTTGACCTTTTTTAAGGAAAACGCCCCCATGTCCCACAGACCAACGTGTAGGGGCAGTAGTGGGACACCTAGTGAAGGACCCTTGAGATCTATGGTGTTCTACAAATTTCTTCTGGGAGCCGGGGGTAGGTCCCGCACAGTGACAGGGCCTGCACCTGCGCGGAGCCAGGTCCCTCTGTCACCCCCGCCACCCCGGAGGGAAAGGACATGCCCAGGGCCTTGGTCTTCTTCTCCGAGAACACCCTCAGGCAGACGTCGCCGTCCTTGAAGGGCCCGAAGGTGGACGGCAACACCACGTACTCCCCGGGGGGCAGCTGCACACATGCCGAGACCTCGCGCAGGTTGACGTAGGTGCTGGAGCGGGCGGAAGGCTTGCGGCCCAGGAAGGAGACCCGGCCCAGGTGCTCATCCCTGTGGCTCTCCAGCTGTGCAAAGCAACAGTCAGGGTCAATGTCTTGTGAAATCCTGGAAGATGAAGGCCCCAGAGTTGGGTTTTATCGCACTAATTTAGGGATAGTTGATTTTTAACCCTGGGCTGAGAATCAGGAAGCCTTGGATTCTGTCGTGAGCTCACCGTGTGTCCATCATCAAATGTGTTCAGAGCACCTCTGGGTGCCCGGCCCAGGTTGAGGCACTGACCTTGGCCAGATCCCTTTCCCTCTTCCTGCATAAATGAAGGATTGGACAGCAAGTGTGCTCAGTGTGTGTGCTCAGCTTCTCTCTGGATATCTGTCCTCATGAATCATCCCTCATTGAATCCAACAGACTCTCACTCTGCAGCTGTACCTGGGGGTGTGGCACTGAGCTCCCCAATACAGGCCTGTGGCTTAAATCCTGGTTCCCAAGCAACAGCAGCCAGGAGGGCCTGCTCACCTTGGCCTGGCTTGGAAAATTGCTCTGCGAGGTAACCAGGGTGATCAGATTTGGGGGAGGGGGGCGGGGCAGGGAGGCAGACAGAGGGGCTGGCCACCCCGAGGGAGGCCTGGCCCTCCTGGGAGGGGGAAGATGCTCCCCAAGACCCATCTGTCTGTTGGAGGGAGAGGGAGGTTGTGGTCATAGGCCACGGGCTAATTAGTGGCTACAGAGTGCTTTGAAAACGCTGTTGCCGGTGTTATTGCTGCTGCGATGAAGCCTCCCCATTGCACTGTATCTTCAGGACCAGGCTTCATCAAGATGCCTGTGACAGCTCAGGTGCTGGTGAGCTGCAAGGGCTGCGACTTCTGTGTGACCCAGAGCTGGACTGCCCACCCCAGGGTAGACAGTGCCTATTCATGGTCACGCGACCCTCTTTGGCACAGCGGGACCCCCCAGCCTGCCCCTGCTGACCTGGGCACAGAGCAGCCACAGCCTTGGGATCCCCCCCCACCCACCAGAAGTTTTCTACCCTGGGCAGAATGCTGGGGCATGGCCAGCAAGGCCTTGGCCGAGTGCAAGTGTTAAGGGGCTAAATGTCATTCTTGCCCTCCCTGATGACTGCGAGGGGAGGAAACGGGAAACCAGCAGGGGAGAAGCAGAAGTGTGGGGTGGGAGGTGGGAAGGGAACGGGGCAAACTGAGTTCTAGCAGGAATCCAGGGGCGGGACAGATTGCAGACGCCTCACCTGGGAGGCCAGAGTGAGAGGTGGAGAGTACGGAGGCAGGAGCTGGGGCCCCTCTGTCCTACTGGGGACTCCACACAGGCATGTGCCACCAGGGCCCTGGCCCTTGCGCCTCCCTGTGGCCTGGCCCAGCCACGAGTGTGTGGGCCCAGGGTCAGCGTGAGCACCCCTGGGGGGCTTGTTGAAAGTGCAGGTCCTCGGGCCCCAAGCCAGACCTGCGGAATCAGAGACTCTGGGGCTGGGGCCCAGCAGCCTGTGCTTTCACAAGTCCCCCAGGCCTTGGAACCGCTGACCAAAGAGCCACTGGCACCTGCAGAGCACAGGCTCCACAGCGACGCACGGAGAGCCCGGGAGATGCTCCTGGAGGCCGCACTGTGTGTGCAGAGGACCTCGCTCTCATAGATGGGCCGCTTCTGATGGGGGCCACCACCCGTCAGACTTAGTGCACGTTTGAATTTAATGACTTTTGAGTAGTGAAGAGGGGCATGCCCTAAATCATCCATTCACTCTTGTCTGTTGCCTCCATAACCAATAATATGCATCTGGGAGCCATCAGGCAGGGTAGACCAGTGATTGGCAGCCTTGGAAGAAGGCATAGGCTGGAACCTGTGAACGTGGACCTCATTGGCACATGCTACCAGGTGGCCAAGGCTGAGGACCCCGGGGGAGCAGGGATTAGCACAGCAGGGCAAACGTACCCCTACATCATTCGAGTAATAGACTCCGGCTGGGGTAGCCCCAGACAGAACAAGTGGTTCCTAACCTTGGCCGCACGTTGGAATCACCCCAGAGATTCTGCCATAATTGGTCTGGGCATGGAGACGTCTAAGAGCTCCCAGGTGTCCCTAGTGTGCAGCCGAGGAGAGGCTCGCTGGGCTGGGCCGAGCTGGGGCCTGACTGTGTACCAGCTGCATGGATGAGGCCGTCTCACAGCACCCCACCAGCCCCTGCCCACGAGGCCACCGGGATAGCTGGGCGAGGCCTGGGACCGTAGCAGGAAACCCCAGATGTAAGTACGACCCTGATGACATGCCTCTCTAACTCAGCTGTAAATCACTGAGGAGATGCAGGAAAAGCTGGGAGCCAAAAAGATCAAGGTGGTGCTTCCTTCTCTGGGCCTTTATTTGAGCCTAAGCGAGCTACAGTCATCTTGTTTGTATCAGACCACCAGGCACACAAGGGGCACAGGTCACCACTGTCCCCTTCCTGGCGGGTGGGACCCAAGTGTCTTTACCAGCTCTCTCAGGGTTAGCAGCTCACCGGATCCTGTGGGAGTCGGTTTGTGGGAGAACCGGCTTCCATCAGAGGAAGCACATGCCACTGGGTGCCCATCACGAAGGCAGCCCAGCTGTTCCTTACCGAGGAGGACATCTCCGTCAGTGTTCACATACCTCTTTGGGGACCTACAGGGCAGGAGACAAGAGCATGTCACCTGAGGGTGCCGTGGGCCTCCCTTTGTGCCTTTGTGTCCCTCCCCACATCTGGCCCCCAGACTGTGCAGTCCTGGGCCACTGGGAGGAATTCGGTGCTAAAATGAGAACCATTAGCATTTCTGAAACTGGAAAGTCATGGGTGAATTTTCAAGGCCATCTGTGGACTACTGAGCCCTAGAAAACCGAAAGGAGAAAAAAGTTCTCCTTTATTTTCATATTGTATAATCTACCAGGACCCCAAATGTTTGAGGAGGACTAACCTTGGGGGTTAAAGGAGAACTAACATCTTACAGACCTAGAGACCTGGCCTCCAGATCAAGGGCTTGGCCAGAAAGGGGTCTCACTCAACTAGAGACATAATTTAATCACCACTGGCTACAGGGATTGGTCCAGGAATAGGCACGTGACCCAGGCTGAGTCCATCACAGACTCCTCTAGGATTTTCAAATTGGAACCAAGGGAAGGGGCCCCCTTGTTTTATGTGGGTGATATTAGAGAGACTGTGCAGAAAGCCAGACCAGGAAGATGGCATTGACACCAGAGGGGAGATGTGAAGAGAAAGGGTCCTGAGAGCAGGCACGTCCCCAGTCCTAAGCATCCCTGTCCTTCCCTGGGTTTGGTGACATGAGCTGGTAAATTCCTTTTTCACTAGTCTAGGTAGAGTTAGGTCCAATTATTTGCAAATGGAAATGGTGATGCCCACAGGAGATCTCAGATGCAGAGTGGGAGTCCTCCCATGCCAGAGAAGGCTCTGAAGAGGGTTCAATCCCCCCTTGTCCTTTTCCCACCTTGGCCCCTCCCAAGCAGTCTCTCTTGACCAGAAGAGTAGCAAGGGCATTGTTTGTGGCTTAGGTCTGTGGGCAGCTGCCAACTCTGAGGGAAAAAAATTAGGGAAAATTTGGGTCAGCTGGCATCCTCACTCCGAAGCCCCTGTTTATAATTGGCAGCAGAGGTAGAAAAGTCTGCAGTCACTCCTCTAAGTTTGCATCTAAAGCTAAAATCCCACATGCAGAGGTCCCGGCTGTCTGGGAGAGCAGAGGTCCTCGGGGGATCTGCCTCCCAACAGCCTTCACCCCCTGGACAGGGACTCTCAACCACCTCGGCTGTCTTTGCATTCACCCCGCCCACCGCCGCAGGCGATATGCTCTGATTCCACTGCCAAGAGGCCCCAGGCAGGAACTGAGCCAGCCAGCCAGGCCTCAGGTGGCACAAGTCCCCAGCCGCAGCATCCAGACAGGAGCGCAGGCCAGCCTTGCCCACTGATGGATGGAAAGGGACAGTCACCTTTGAAATGCAAGATATCCTGAATGCAAATGACAGGCCTGCGTGGCAGGAGCCTGTTGTCACAGCAGGGCTTTTTAGCCTTTGGGGGTTTCCGGCTGTTCCTCAGTCACTGTCAGTTTTCCCACCTCAAACCAGACTCCAGTTTGCAGACGGTTAAAGCCAGAAGAAGCAGTTCCAGGGGTCAGAGAATGGTACCCGCTGCAATCCCTACATGGCCTCTCTCCAACGCCTGGTACTTTCTACAAGCCCAGGCACAGACACTCCCTACAGGGCTGTACACCTTCCTCACCCTGACGTTAAAGTGGCTGTGTTCACAGATGTCATGCTGTAATTTATATGCCTTTGGCTGTAAGAGGAAGGTCCACAGACCACATACATGGGGTTATTTTATAAGCAGCTGTAAACTAATGTCTGAAAAATTGACATGCCGTATATATTATTTACGAGAGCAAATGCCATGCCCACAAAGCTATTTCTGTGTGTTAGCTCACGTACCTTTGAAAGAATGCTTTGTTGATCCGGTTATAGAAGGTAGAGCTGGTGGATGAAGAGCTGGTGTCCACAGTCCCCATTCAGCCCACCCTTTGGCCATGCCCGTCTCCTGCCTGCTCTCCCAAACTGTCACTTCCTCTCCAGCTGTCAAGAAGCACATGATGTCCCCTATGGCTGGAATGTTCTCCCTCGTCCACCTTTGAAATCCAGCTCTTTTTTTTTTTTTTTCCCAATACACTGGCCTCTCACTGTTGTGGCCTCTCCCGTTGCGGAGCACAGGCTCCGGACGCACAGGCTCAGCGGCCATAGCTCACGGGCCCAGCTGCTCCGCGGCATGTGGGATCTTCCCGGACCGGGGCACGAACCCGCGTCCCCTGCATTGGCAGGCGGACTCTCAACCACTGCACCACCAGGGAAACCCTCCAGCTCATTTTTTGACACCCTGATCAAATTCTTCTCCTCCACGAAGCTATCCCTCTCTGAGGAGACCTCAGCTCACCGTGCTGGTCCCGTCATAGCAGATCTGCCCTGCCCTGTAGCTAGTGGAGTGTGTGTGTGGTTTCCCCCCTAGATTGTGAGCACCCTGAGGTCGATAACCTTCTGCTCTTCCTCTGGATCTCAGCTTTCAGCAGGGCACCTGGCACGCGGCAGATACGCACTAAAGAAGTGTTGAATTGATATGCATAGGGTAAGTGCTTTCTTGGTTTTTTATCCCTATAAGCAAAAAATCTGTTTTGGTCCTACTTACATTCTAGGTGGGGATGGAAGGGATACGCTGGAGTAGAATTGGAGATTATTTATTTGAAATACTTTTCTCCAGCCATCAAGCAGCAATTATTTTCCAACTCCCATTCCTCCAACACAAAATACACACACACACACACACACACACACACACACACACAAAACTCTAAAGCTCTAAGTTCCAAAATAAGTGAAAGAAAGGGACTGGAGGTCACGTGAGCTTGACAATTGCACTTTTCCTTACTGGTTTCTTATTACAGTACTTCTTTCCCATGCACTTATGTACACTGAGATGTTGGGCTTCCAGCCAGCTCTTGGTGTTTCTGAATAGAATTGTATTTTTCCCAAGAAATTCACTTTTAACAAAATTCTATAAAAACAACCACCACGAATCCCTCCGGAATTCGTTATAAAAAGTCTTTGCCTATGTAAAATAAGTGGATTCCCATTTGATCCTGGCTAGACTCGTCAAGACCCAGAGGTCTTGCTTTTACCTACTTGTTAGGCTGTGAAATCTGTAGAGGGGTGGTTACAGGGCAAACTGGGGTATTGAGACACGCACTGCAGCCTGAGCCCAGAGCCAGCTGTGACCTTCCATCCAGAGACACTAGAACTGAAAATGACCTGGGGCTCCTTTCACCCCAGCCCACGCCTTGTGTGTCCCAACAAGTGTGTCAAGGTTGCCCAGGGAGAAAGAGGATTTGTCTTTGGCTCCCTTCCCCCACTCTGTGATGTCCTCATACTCCTTGTGTCACCTTCTTGGCTCCTGTCCCCTGAGAAGCCTATACCTGGAGAGAGTCTAATAAGTGTAGTTACACTGAACCCTCAATGACAGACAAAGCTTAATGAATTACACGTCTCAGTGTTAACAGTAGAGATTTAAGCCAGAGGAATGAATCTCTAATTGTGGAATTCAGGCCTCAGTAAGGCCACTGGGGGAGCATTTTGGGGAGCAAGGAAAATGCTTGATTAAGGACATCCAAACAATAAGAAAGATTTGCTTCAATTGCTGGGCAAAATATTCTGACCAAAGACATCAGGCGTGCCGTGACGGCTGACCCCAGCTCCAGAGTACCTTGTAGACAGCATCGGCTATGCTGAGCATGCCCTGTCCCATCCTCTTCTGTCGCCTGCGATTCTTCTGCAGCGGCCCCAGCAGCACCGTGCAGCCGGGTTCACCAATGCTCTCCTCCTGGTGGTCGCCTACCTCGTCCAAACAGATTTTGAACTGGGGATTGGTCCAGTAAGTGGCTAGAAGTCACCCAGGAGATGGTGGTTCCCCCCAGGGGGCGTGAGGAGATCTGGGAAGAATAGAATGAAAGGGAGGAATTTTGATCATCTCAAGGAAACATAACTCTGGCCAAACTGTGCCGGGTAAGCAGGGCTTAGCAAGTTTGCTTTACAAGGTGGTCAGTATTTCCTCCTATCTCCCTACCCCACCCACATACCAGCACACACACCCCACAGCACATGGAAACTTTACACTTGTCCATTTGATCAACCAGGGCCCAGATATACTTGACGGGATATTCAAGGTCCCGTGGTCCCAGGGCTACACTGGGTCCCCCTGGGAAGGCAACTCCAAGTCTTCTGGGGAAATGATTAACATCTCCTTGTTCTCAGCCTGTGAAGAACTGACCTGTGAAGATGAACCCATCTCCTGGAGGAAGGAGGTCTCTGGGGGGAAAAGCAGGTCCCTGAAACAGATGAGGACAATTCTAGCAAAATCTAGCTACCAAGGAGGCCTCTCCTGACAGACTATAAGATGACCAACCACTCTTGCCCCCTGGGAAGCCTGTCTGACGGGGCCCCGCTTCAGATCACAGCCCAAAACAGCCATGATTGCTGATCCTCTGTCCATTGATCCAGGGGCCCCACTAGATGGCTCAGCGTGGCAGCCAGTGATGAGGGACACTCCCTCAAGAGTACGTCATTTAATAATGCCCAAGGAATAATAATTGGCAATTAAGAAGCACGCCTGCCGTACCACCTATGGATATTTTAAAACACTGCTTCATTTCAGATACGACCTTAAAAAAAAAAATCTCTCCAAATGGTGACTGTACAAGCCAAGGCACAGAGAGGGCAAATGGGTCATCCAGGGACACACAGCAATTCTATGACTGACTCAAGTGGCAGAGTATGATTGAGGAAGATAGGCTTGGCAGCCATCTCCATGCCAGGGCCTCAGTAATTTCAATAACGATGTGCCCTGGGGGAAGAAAGGGGTGGGGGATGGAGAGAGTGCTTAGATCTTCTAGGTAAGGGTCCAACATGATACAATAACAGGGCATTCACAGGTGACCAAGAGCCACTGGTTATTATATTTTCTTAACAATAAAATTACTTATTCAATTCCACCTTCCCAGAACTTCCAGATTTTTTTCTTTTATCTAAGGCACAAGTGTGTAGAATTTTTTTTTTTTTTTTTTTTTTGCGGTACGCGGGCCTCTCACTGTTGTGGCCTCTCCCATTGCGGAGCACAGGCTCCGGACGCGCAGGCTCAGCGGCCATGGCTCACGGACCCAGCCGCTCCGCGGCATGTGGGATCTTCCCGGACCAGGGCACGAAGCCGTGTCCCCTGCATCGGCAGGCGGGCTCTCAACCACTGCGCCACCAGGGATACCCCTACAAGTGTGTAGATTTTAAAACAAATATCTGTCGATTCCAGAGGAGCCAGAGACAATTCTGTAATCTTCTAAACTTACATCATTACCAAAGGGCAGGAACAGTCCATCTGTCCCGACAGCTAGCTGGCAGCACAGATGGGGTAGCGATTTCGTGCAGACAGATACCTTAGGCACCCCTACAATTCCGAGCTCCCAAAATGATCCATGCAAATTTCCTACACATTTTCTAAGAGCTTGCTAATGGTGAGCATATTTTAATTTCTCCCAAATGCAACATCACTGCAATCCCTACATTTTTTGTTTACTCCTTAACAGAGCTGGAAGAAGAAAATGGGTGATAAAGATAACACATCCCATTTGTATAACACTACACCATTTACAAAGCGTTTCCGAAGGTGGGTATTATCCCTCCACTTTGACGATTGGGAAATTGAAGCTCAGACCAGGGAGACGACCCTCCCAGGGCCCCAGAGCTGTTGCACCGGGCATCTGAGTGACAGTGGCAGGAAAGGACCACCCTCCTTCCATCTCTGCCGTCAGAAATGGGAGCTCAGGTTGGATGGGGATAATGAACAAGAGACCTGGTCAGGACCCAGGACTGCACCCACATGGGATTTTATTCTAACGCTGCTTCCACGCCCTGAGCACAGGCCTGCAATGAGCTCTGTCGTGAGAACAAGGCCCAATGCTTACAAGTCGAAGTCGGTTAACAATGTCAACGTCAGACCAGGACCGGGCCTGGGGAGGTGGGCAGTGGAGAGGGTGGGTTTTGCTTTCTTTCATTTCTCCTTAGAGATGTGGGGTTGTTTTTCGGAGTTTCTTCCTCTGGTGCTGCCTCAGCTGATTCAACCTAGGAGGAGCCTCTATGTGTAGATACTAGTGGTCTCCCGCGAACAGGGAAGCCTTCCCACCTTTAATAAGATGAGGGCCCGGGTTAGTGCAGAGGCAGCGGTTTGCGCCAGGCTATCCCCACCAGGGAGGGAGTTCTGATGACGACCAGGGGAGTGGACAGTGGCCATTAGCACACCCTGTGTGTGACCACCCCTGACCCAGGCTGTCTGACTCGGGTGCAAACAAAGCAGAATGGCCGCTTGGATAGATGCGGTCTGCTGATACAGTGATGCCCAACCTACGTCCCTCTAGCGCACCGTTAGCCTCTGTCCCAGGGCGCAGTGGGCCGGTTGCCAGCCAGCCGGGCCACATGGGGATGGAGGAAGCCTCAGAGAAAAACAAGAGGCCTTGGTGCAGGGTGACAAGAGCATGGTTAGTACGAAGAAGAACGGCCTTGGCGGGCAGGGGGCAGGTGGGTGAAGCAGAGATAGTCTGAACACACAGACGCTGAAGAATGATGTTACCTGAGATCAGGCCCCGGGTGAATGGCTGCAGAGCCGCCACCCACCACTGCTGCCCTGGCCTCCAAGCCCCAGAAAGAAGCTGGGCCACTAAGGGGTGCCAGGAGCCAGAGAACAGAGTGCAAAGGCACTGTCCCAAGATTAACATATAAGGATGCCCAGCCCTGGGAGGACAAGCCAGAAGAAGGTGAGCACGGCAGCTCCCGCCTCACCTGCGGAGTGCTGGCAGCCGCCGGCAGTGGAGCCCCGTATCCAGTACCCATTGAATAGAATCAGGTTCCACTTGTGCACCTCCTCGCTGCTCAGGGAGTCCAGGGACAGGTTGCAGATCTCTAGCCGAGAGAACTGCCTCAAGAAATCCGAAAAAGACATCCTGGGGGCAGAGGGACAGTTGGGCTCTCAGTCGAGAGAGCTGGGCTGGAAAAGTGATGGAACGCGTGCCCCCTGGGCACAGGACGGACCAAAGGCCGTGGGCTAGCTCGAGTCTTTTCTGCAGCCCACTGTACAAATATGCAGGGGTCATTGACCACATTCCTCACTACTGTTAGCATCTCCATTTTTCTTAGAGAACCCCCACTCATATCTAACCAACCCCGCAAAGAGACGAAACCATCAACTGGAGAGACCCTGGCAGGTAAATTGAACCAAACCACCATCTCCAAGTTCCCTCCTGTTTACATCTAAGTCGGAGCCTAGAGATGGCCCCTAAACCACGTCATATTCTTAGAGGTGTCCCTATTATCTTCCTTAGCCCATGAGTGATGGAAGTTATCTTTTTTTTTTTTTTTGCGGTACACGGGCCTCTCACAGTCGCGGCCTCTCCCATTGCGGAGCACAGGCTCCGGACATGCAGGCTCAGCGGCCATGGCTCACGGACCCAGCCACTCCGTGGCATGTGGGATCTTCCCGGACCGGGGCACGAACCCGTGTCCCCTGCATCGGCAGGCGGACCCTCAACCACTGCGCCACCAGGGAAGCCCAAGTTATCTTATTTTGCTGCTATGCTAAATCTTGGACTTAAAGAGATAGGAACAGTGCTCCTATTTCACTGGAAAGTTATGGAAACGGAGGAAGACAAGCTGATAGCTAATCCGTGTTGAAGCCCAGATATCTTGGTTTCAATGCTTCAGACGTACTGGTACGGAGGTAGAACTACTCTGGGGTAAAAGCGGGAGGAGAAACAAGCCCTCCTGGCTGGGAACCATGTGGAATTCCTGGAACACCTAGAGACAGCTGCCCACCTGTGAACCAGGAATGGACCCACAACTAGGGGACAGCACTCCCGCAGGTGACTCTCACCAGAACTCTCCATCCTCAGCTTTCTTGTCCAGCTTTTCTTTCTGCCTGGGATCTATGTAATTCCACTCTAGTGCACTGGGAAAGAAAGAATAACATTTAAAGTTTTTTTAAAAGGAAGCAGAGGTGATCATTCCTGAAGGGTTTGCTGCAGTGCAAGCTATTTACTGCAGCCCAACTTCCCCCTGAGAAATGGGGAACACCGAAATGATAGCCAGGGGTGGGAGGGGGGTGTAGCCTGGGGAAGGGACGGGGCTCCACGGGCCCTAACAGGGTGACCCCAGGCATGCAGCGGGAACACTGCGCCATGGCTTTGCTCTAAGTTCACTCTCCAGGCAAGTTTTACATTCATGTCTGATTCAGCTCCCCAGGCCCTGATCACAGGCCTGGGCAAGTCCAAGGCAGGAGCTGCGAGAATGGCCGCCACAGGCCACTCCACTGCTTCTCAATTGGTGAGATGTCCTTCTGGCTTATCTATCAGTCTGAAGTGAAGATACTGTGAGAGGGTCTGAGCATCTCTGGACACATGAACATGGTCCCCTTCCTGAGCCTGCAAAATGACCATCAGGCCCAGTTTTGTGACAATTTCCATGAAGTAATGTCACCCTGTGAGGCCTCCTACTGGCGGCCTTTCCATAGCAATACCCACATAATTTGTTGAAATGCCATTTCCAGCTACCTGACCTTTAAGGGGTTAGGTTTTCCTGAAATATGTATGCAACGCTAAATAACTGAGCAGTATCCAGATCCATCTTTAAAAAATCCCCTCCCTGATTGCTTTCAGCAAAACGTGGAGACCTCCCCGTCGCTGCATAAAAGCTGGGGCATACCCAAGCCCAGCCTCTTCCTCCAGGGGGGCTCTCAGGACCCCTAGGCATCAGAGATGGGAGCACCCAGGGCCTATTTAGTTCATGGAAATAGTCATTGGATTAGACCAAACCTCAGGGGCTTCCCTGGGCTTCCCTGGTGGTGCAGTGGTTGAGAATCCACCTGCCAATGCAGGGCACACGGGTTCGATCCCTGGTCCGGGAAGATCCCACATGCTGCAGAGCAACTAAGCCCATGCACCACAACTACTGAACCTGTGCTCTAGAGCCCGCGAGCCACAACTACTGAGCCCACGTGCCACAACTACTGAAGCCCGCGCGCCTAGAGCCCGTGCTCCACAACGAGAGAAGCCACCGCAATGAGAAGCCCGCGCACTGCAATGAAGAGTAGCCCCCGCTCGCCACAACTAGAGAAAGCCCATGCGCGGCACCGAAGACCCAACACAGCCAAAAATAAATAAATAAAATAAATAAATGCATTTTTTTAAAAAAGAGCCAAACCTCAGAATGTGCTTGTTATAAACAAAGATTAGGGGACTAGCTGGAGAATATGAGATCTGACCTAAATCTCCCAGTTAGTTTTTTGAAACTTAAAAAAAAAAAAATTCTAATTTAAAGACATTGGGCTGAGACTAGGGAATGTTACCTCAGAGATGCAGCACCCTCCTCCCCCAGCAGCCATGGATAAATACCCCTGGCTGCGTCTCCACATGTAGCCTGCGGGGCTTGCCTGTCATCACCTCACACCCTTGGACCTGTCCCAGCCTGTTAGGGACTGAGCATCTTTGGGGAAAGGAGATAAAGTCGTATAAGCCCCGTAAGCAGCTTGGGAAGCAGCTGCTGCTTAAAATGGCTGAAACTGGGGTTTCAGTTTCATTCAGCCATGACATCCTTTTGGGGCAGTTGGCAGAACTAAGGTTTTGGGTTTTGCTCCATCATAGGCAGGAGAATGAAAAATCTTTAATATAAGAGGTGATCCGTGGCCCTGGGGATGTGTTTCTTCATGATACAAACCTCAAGGGAAGTACCAGCTACGAGCACTAATGATGTGTGATTAGTTCATAAATGTAATAAAGTTCCCTTCCAAAGCCCTGGTGGCATCATGCAGTGTGGACAGCACATATGAGGTATATACGAGGCTTAAGGATGTGCTGGGGGGGCGAGTTGTTATTATGACCATTCCCACTTCTGGTGGCTCTTCATCAGTGACACTGGCCAATTCTCCATCCTTCCCCAGTGCCAACCTGCCTCCCCCGTGCCAGCGGTGCTAACTAGGATGGAAACTGGGCCATGCTCTCTCCATCCTCCGGTACCACGGTGGCATCGATTCCAGGGCACAGCTGTCCCAGGACACCACAGGAGGCCTCTGTGTCCAGGCACCACCTCTGACTGGCTGCCACTCTCCACTGTGAGAGGTCTGGGCCCCTCCGTTCATTAATGGCTTTGTTGGGAGAGATCAACACCCGCCCGTACTGAGCTCTGGGGGAGCGGGCGCCACTCCCACTCATCCTCACTGCCTCTGGTGGCCAGTGGCTCCTAGGATCCAGTTCCTATTTCTAGGCACGTTTCTTCTTGATGCTGAGGGGTTTGGCCTTTGTCCAAGTGCCCAGGCTTTGTGGAGTGGAAAGAATCCGACGGAGAGTGATGGGTCTAACCTTTGGATGACCGCGGTGGTAGGTAGAAAACAAGCCAACCCTCCGGCGCTCAGCAAAATTCCACTGAGCTGCCAAACTTGCAAATGCCAAAGCAGAGCAAGGAATCGAAGACTACAGCTGAGTGGTTTTTGTTTGGCTTTTCTCCACCTGGAACCACCTAACACTCCTTTCCGAACAGGCTGGGTGCTTTGTGGACGGAAAGCACTGCCGAGCGTACTCCACTGTGGGTCTCACGATCACTGCGTGTTTTGCGTGATGCCTTCCCGCAGAGGGAGGCGAGCACGGCCGGAGGGAGGAAAGAACCTACTCATCGCTCCAGGCCCCCATCCATTCCACTTCGCCCCACGGGTTCCGGAGTCTCATCAGCTTCTCTGGATGGCCCCGGAAATCCACCTGCAAGGGCCACAAAGGCAACTGAATCGCCGCGCATACCCCTGCTGCCCTGCGTTCATGTCCTCGCCTGAGCAGACCTGCATCCAATTCCTCAAATGCCCCTAAACAACCACTTATATTTGCTTTTAACACATGTTTTCAAGCCTTAGCTGACTACTCTATTTTCCACAATCTGGTTGAATAAATAGTAAGTCCAGCATAGAAACAAGTGTCTATCTGCTGTAACTTGGATTAAAATTGGATAGTTGACTGACTCAGTTCTTAATATATGAGACCTATTGACAATCAATGCCCTCCAACAAATACTAAGAACAGAGCAGTTAGCATTTTTCGAGCAGGTAGTATGCGCTAGGCATGGAGCTGGGTGCTGGATGCATTATTACCTCATTTAAACCTCACCACAATCCTATAAACTGGGTGCTGTTTTATCTTCATTTTCATCTCTCTCAAAACTCTGAGACCCAGAGAGAGTAGATCTATGTGTATGTATAACTGATTCACTTTGCTGTACACCTGAAACTAACACAACATTGTAAATCAACTATACTCCAATAAAAGTTTTAAAAAACAAACAAGCAAACAAAAAAACCTCTGAGACCCAGCCAGAGGGGTTGAGTTATGCAAGATTACCTAGTTAGTAAGTAGTAGATGGAGGACAGGCACCCAGGCAGTCTCTCTCAAAGCCCATAGTGGGAAATCCATACATCCACCTTCTCCTATTGTCTACGGAACACTCACCAGGAGCCCCCACGTGTGCCTTTGCATACACGTGCAAACACGATGGACCGTTCTGTCTTCAGTGTCTGACCTTCCTTTGTATCCTCCGTCATGCTCTCACCCAGTGTTTACATATACATGCTCAATTCATATTTGGGAATTGACTTCATTAAAGAGCGTATTTGTGAAACACAAACACACGTAATGAACATTCATGCCTTTTTAATAAATAACAAAAACTGAGACAACCACTGCGTTTCCTTTTTTGCCTTGGCCATCACGAAACCCAAAACGAAATTAATTTCTCAACTGGAGCGCTGTCTTTAGCCTAGAGTGTCTGGTGTATTTTACCTTTGTTGTATGGTTTTATTGTGTCTATGCTTTTCATTGTATACCACTGCACCTCCTTTTTGGAGGTAAGCAGACTATGGTCAATAGAGATAATGAAAAGTTCAGCCCATGCTTTCTCCTTGGGTTGGAACGTAAGGAATACTTGCTTTCCTTCCCACCATCACACCCCACCTTGAAAGCTGGGGCAGGTTTTACTGCCTTTTTCTCTTTGGAGATCCTATGGGTTTCCACTGCTTTACCTGTACAAACATACTTTTTTTTTTTTTTGGCCATATGACATACAGTAAGGTATACTTTTTAAATGCTTTTCTTTTTTTTCATTTTATTTATTTATTTTTGGCTGCACTGGGTCTTGGAAGCTGTGTGCGGGCTTTCTCTAGTTGCGGAGAGCAGGGGCTACTCTTCGTTGCGGTGTGCGGGCTTCTCATTGCGGTGGCTTCTCTTTTTGCAGAGCACGGGCTCTAGAGCTCAGGCTCAGTAGTCGTGGCACATGGGCTCAGTAGTTGTAGCGCATGGGCTTAGTTGCTCCACGGCATGTGGGATCTTCCCAGACTAGGGCTCGAACCCGTGTCCCCTGCATTGGCAGGTGGATTCTTAACCACTGCACCACCGGGGAAGCCCAAACACCCTTCTTAGAATGAGTGTAGATCTAACTGATAATTTCTACAACTTTCCTCCAAAACTTCGTCCCTCTTCCTGGCCACATCTCAGAGGATAGCCTGCATTTAGTTAGAACCCATAGAGCTGAAGCTCAAAGAGGTTACGTTATCCATCTCTGAGTGGGTAAGAGGTAGGAGGACCCTTGTAATAAGCAAGAGCTGAGTGTGGGTCAGTGCCAGGGGCTCTGCCACCAGAGATGCTGCACCTCAGCAGGGCAGGGAAGGGCTAGGTGGTGATTCCCTCTCTTTCTCTCAAGGATGCCAGGGATTTATGGTAGTATCATTACACATTGCCCTTCCGTCTCCCCATGCCCAAGTTTACCTCTTCGACTCCAGTGACAGAGGACGCATGACTCTTAACCAGCTTCAGGCTGGTGATGACTTCTGCTGCAGCTGCACTGGAGACCTGAGTTGAGAGTAAAGTCCACTCAGAGTGGCTGCCCCTGACCTTGTTGGGGCCAGTCCTACAATGCTTTCCAAGGACATACTACACAGCCACAGGGCCCCAGTGCAAGGCTGGCGGGGGTGGGGGCAGGGACAGCAATTAACCTCAGGTAAATAGAGCTCTCTCCATCCAAACCCTCTTTGATCAGGCCTGCCTGCCAGTCCTGGAGTATGACTTACCAGCCTTTGAAATGACACAGGAAGTGGGAAGCCATTTATTCTCCAGGAAGGACCTCACGCTGCCTGCAGAAGACTAATTATCCATGACAGTTGTCTGGACGGGCCCTGGTTCACCAGTGGCAGTGGGTGTCCCCAGGGTCCCTCCTCAACAGCCCCTCCCTCTCCCCAGACCCCATGTCACTTCTCCACCAAAAATACACATATCCTGCTGGGGTTTTTATAGAGAGGAGAAAGGGGGACTGCTCTTGCTTTGTCATTCACGTGTGTGAGGTCACCAGGTAAGGGTCGAGAGAAGGAGAAAGAGCAGGTGGAGGGGCAGGTGACAGCAGACCACGTGGCTGGTGGCCTCCAGGCTCTGGTCTACACACTACCTTGGAACCGCATACAGCCAGCCCCCAGACAGGGCACCACCCCTGGTTCAGAACCTCTTCCCTTTTCTTCAGTGTTCTCAAAGCCCATCATGTATTGTCAATCACCATATTTGTTTTCCAAAATCCCAAGATTACTTAGCAAGAGGGGGTAGCAAAGGTAGGGCCCAGGATCCAGAGATCAAGGCTGCATTCTTAGGGCAACTCCTGCAGTACTAACGGGGCTTAACACTTAGAACTCCTATGGTTTCTGAGTTTATGAGACCAACTCCAGTTCCTACCCATTACTTAGGTCTTCCCACCGGCTCCCACGTGCTAGGGACAAATATGTCACAGGACTTGCCCTGTAAGTCCTAGACTCTACTCTGGCCCAAAGCCTTCCCAGCCTCTAGCCCCTGTCCTGTTCCTTCCCTACCACACATGGGGAGGGGCAGCAAAGAGAAACCTTCCCGGCTCACATCAATGGAGCAGGCCAGCAGAGACCCTGCTCGAAGGGCCTTCCGGATGATCTGAAACAGACTGGCTGGTGGCTTCTTCAGCTCATAAAACTCAGAGATGCCACCTGTGAAATCCTCAAAGCCCTCCAGCGAGAGCCTCGTAAGAACTGTTGAGCCTGTTGGGAAAAAAAAAAGAATACATGCATCATTCAGAGCCATTAGCAACCCCAGCGAGAGGACCACATGGGATGGAGTCGGTAGGACATGGTGTGGTCTGGAAGGGACAGGAGGACCTTTGCCAATTTTGTCTGTGGGCCAGGGAGGGGCTTAGGCACACTTTCACGTGGCCAGCTCAGCACTTTTCCAGGAGCAAATCTCAGATCACCTCTCACCAAGCCATGTGCTCTATTAAAAACCAAAGTGCAATCTTTCCAGCGCTGACCTTGGCTTCTTGGGTTTCTGGGGGTTGGGGCATGGGTAGGGATGATGGGGACCCTCCCTCAAAGCTGAGAGGCATCCCTTGGGGTTTGCTTTGGGAATAGGGCTGGGAAGGAACAGGGGTTGCACAAAAGGGTACCAGTCAATGAAACTGATTCAAAGAACCCCAGAGAAGACTTTGAACATTGAATGCCAGTGAGAAGGAGCATGACTCCCAAGCAAAGGGTAGAGATTTTGATGAGTTTGGGATCTAAGTACATTTGCTTTATTCTTCTTCTTTGTCATTCTTTTAAAAATTCACATTGGGGCTTCCCTGGTGGCGCAGTGGTTGAGAGTCCGCCTGCCGATGCAGGGGACACGGGTTCGTGCCCCGGTCCGGGAAGATCCCACATACCGCGGAGCGGCTGGGCCCATGAGCCATGGCCGCTGAGCCTGCGCGTCCGGAGCCTGTGCTCCGCAGCGGGAGAGGATACAACAGTGAGAGGCCCGCGCACCACAAAAAATAATAATAATAAATAAATAAATAAAATAAAATAAAAATTCACATTGACCTAAGAACTGACCCGGGGGTTTGAAAGAGGACAAAGCTGAGACACTAAGAAGCTAAGTGGTGGTCCCAGTTCACTCATTCATGTGGGACAGAGCTGAGCTTTTAACTCATAGCCCAAATTTCTGTTTCTCTTAGTTATGGAGGGGTACTTTACATGGGGTGCAGGGGCTGGGAACGATGGGCATGGCACCCAGAGTCTGGGGAGGGGCAGGTAAAAATCCTCCAAGGAGACGGCAGAGCCTCCTAGCTCCTCCCTGACCCACTTATTTGGCGTAGGCCTTCTCCAGCAGCGCGCTCCAGAGCTCACTGCCTTCCTCGGAGCACAGGAAGAGCAGCTCCCCGTCCTTGGTGGGCAGCCTGTCGTCCACCGCCACCTCCACCCACCCTCCATACTGCCAGAACCGCGGGAGGAAACACAGCGCCCGTTCACAGGAATGAGCTGAGAGGTAGAGTCAGTGCTCTCAGTGGACCTCAGAAGGAGCGTCTGTGCTGATCAAGGTTCCAGCCTTGGACATTTAATGAACTCCTTAAGAGCAGGATCTGTGTCTTACTTATCCGTGCCCATAGGAGACGCCAGCAAAAGCAGGAAACATCGAGTCCAGTGGCTGAGTTTGTGGATAAGAAAACTTGCATCACGCAGTGGCAACAGTGATGCCGCGTGATGCCACTCGGGCTCACATCTCCTGACCCCCACTCCAAGGTGCCTTCCTCGGGCTTCCCTGGTGGCGCACTGGTTGAGAGTCCGCCTGCCGATACAGGGCACACGGGTTCGTGCCCCGGTCCGGGAAGATCCCACATGCCGCGGAGCGGCTGGGCCCGTGAGCCATGGCCGCTGGGCCTGCGCGTCCGGAGCCTGTGCTCCGCAACGGGAGAGGCCACAGCAGTGAGAGGCCCGCGTGCCGCAAAAATAAATAAATAAATAAAAAATAATAAAGACATGTAGTCACCTTCAGGATGGGAATTTTATTTTTTCTTTTTTTTCCTTTGGCGGTGCCTCCCGGCTTGCGGGATCGTAGTTCCCCAACTGGGGATCGAACCCAGGCCCCCTGCAGTGAAAGTGCCGAGTCCTAACCACTGGACCACCAGGGGAGTCCCCAGGTTGGGATTTCTTTATTCGAAATACCTGATCCAGCCTGATGGCCAAGAGTGATATTGGCAAAGAAGGAAGAAAAAACACAAGTAGCCTCTGACGTAAGATACCCCTGTCTTCATGATTTAATAGTGATACAAGGCAAAGGGCTTAGGTAACAGATCAGAAGTCCAGTAAACATTCACGGAGCCCTGCTACACCCCAGGCACGGTGGATTATAGAGATGCAGAAGAGAGTCAGTCCCATGGAACACACAGGCAGGGCTCCCAGGGTTATTACAACCCCTTCTGCCCGTCGCACTGCCCACTTCCGGGCGGACGAGGAGCCGTGTCAATTCTCTACTCATCACAACCACCCGGCAGGCTGGGTTTGATTACAAGCCCACTGTACAGCTGTGCAAACTGAGGTGGTGAAGCCACAGGCAGACCATGAAGACCCAGGTCTCCCTGGGGGGCTTTTTGCACCCGGGGTGCTGAATTAGGCACTGCTGGTAGCACAGATCCAGAGAAAGAGAGCAGCCTTCAGGGAGGGACATGTCCTGGAGCACTGCAGGGTGATGGATTCAGGGGCAGGGAGAAGATGGCAGGACCAAGGTGACCTGGGGCAGGGAGAGCACAGTCTGGCCAGACCTGGTCCCCGCCACCCCACTGGCATATTGAGGTACACTTTCTCCGTTCTGTCGGCCCACTACACACTGCCCCCTTCTTTTGGAGAACCCCCCTGTGGTTTGGGGGGAGCCTGGCAGTCAGAAGAGCAAAGCCCATGACCCAAGCTGAGCCAATCAAATAGCACCTCACCCCTCTGGCTGAACCCAAGGAGTGGGCAAAGATCCCAACCACCAGATCAGAGACTTTTTCTGAGATCTGTAAAATCAAAGGTGGTTTGCGATACTACCAAGTTGAAGTCTGGAACCCTAGTGGTCATCTCTCCTTCTGCGTGAAGCCTGCCTGGCATGGAAGAGGGTGGAGTGGAGACAGGACAGGCAGAGAGAGCTCCAGGAACACCTAGATCCCTAGATCCAGGCTTCTCGAGGCCAGCACTGCCCTTCCCTTTCCACGGTCTAGTGGGATGAGCCAATAACTTCTCCTTTTTCTTTAAGCTGGTTGGGTTGAACTTCTGAAGCCAATGACTAAAGGACTCCTGGCCAGTCCAGAGTCATGACTTACCGCGTCGGGTGAAAGAAGCCAGAAGCATGTACTTCGTGGTGGGACAGAATCTATTTCTGTGGACACAGAGGCCTCAGAGGGACACGCATGGGCCAACATGCAAAGGAGAGACAGACGGTGCTGGGACAGGCAGCAGAGGGACAAGCGAGGTGTCTGCAGTTCCCTGTGTGATGCGCCAACCATGAGCCTTCGCTGGAAGTGGGCACCGCAGACGTGCCCGACAGGGCATAATCCCACACTTAACAACGTATTCCCTCTCACTATGGTGTGGCCCTGAGAGCTCCTCACACTGGAGGGATGCTGTGTGTGTGGCCCTTGCTAGATCTGGTGAGCGTGGGCTCTGCCAGGAAGACCAAGCGTGGTAAGGCTGCAGCTGCAGGGAACCCCTCCTCAGTGTGTTCGGGTGAAGAACTCCAGGCCTGGGGATCCAGGGAGGGATTTTTGTCTGGGGGCTGTTTCATCAACAGATACGCATTTGATTACTGGTGTGGAGGCAAACCACACCGCCCTCAGGCAGAGACTGAGTCACCCAACAGAAAGTCATATTACACAGTAAGAATTACCTGGAGCAATTGAATCTTTAGCATTGCAGACTTCCCAGTCTTTCTTCCTATAATAATGTCTCCAAAGAAAGTTAACTCCTGGACTCTACATGAGCACAGACTCTGGTGGGAGGCAAGGGGCTCACGTGGCGAGGATGAAGCCTGGCTTGGCGAGAAATACATCGTATATATATAATATAATTACATTGAAATAGTTATCAAAATATGTTTTTAACATTAGAATATGGTAAGGTTCGTACTTCTTTATTAACATTCTATATAAAAGTTTTGGAGTGGCGACTGATAAGCACCATAATTATGAGGTAACGATGAATATGTGGTATTTTGAATTATTTGCAACAATTGTAATGTAATATGAATATAAGCCATGATTTCTATTACTGTGCTTCATTGTCTGCATTCATACCAAAAGGAAATAAGTTAGTGAGAGTTGGTGTAACTAAAGATGTAACGGTACAATTCTTTCATGCTCTGTTCAATATACAAATCCTCTGGTAGCCCACTGACTCAAATTCACACTAAAGTGTAAATGATTGTCCTGGGCCCTTTCCTCAGAGTAGATAAGACAGTGGTGATAGTGGGACTGAATATGGGGTCACTAAGCACTGGGAATCAAATAGAAGGGAAAGATATTCCATGGTGACTGAAGCAGCCACACTTCAAACCTGCTGACAAAAACCCTCACACACACACTACCGCGGAGAAGGACATTCACTGCATAATAGCTGAAGAGAGAAAATAACTCGTGTCCGTCAGTAGGAGACAGGCTAAATCAACTGGTACTTCGCACAATGGACTGCAATATTCTGAGTGGTTACAAAGGAATGAAGCCCTTCATACGCTGACATGGAAAGAGCTCCAAGACATCTTATTTAGTAAAATAATAACAAATAATGGAAAGGTGCTAAACAATGTTTACAGTATGCTGCCTTCAAGGCAAGAAGGGGATACAAATTAGAATACGTATTTAGACTTGCTTGAATTTGCATAAAGAAACACTGAAAGGATAAGGAAAAAAAAAGGTTCCAGGACAGCAAGCAGTGGAATAGATGGAGACAGACAGGAAGCTGAATCTTCACGGTGGACCTTTCAGCTGTTTTCATTTTTGAACAGTGTGTATTCAAAATAATAATAAAATCACGGTAACACAAAACTGTGTAAAGGACATCATTTTCATTATATAGATCAACTGTTAAAAAATAATAACAGGACTTCCCTGGTGGCGCACTGGTTAAGAATCCGCCTGCCAATGCAGGGGACACGGGTTCGAGCCCTGGTCCGGGAAGATCCCACATGCCGCGGAGCAACTAAGCCCATGCGCCACAACTACTGAACCTGCGCTCTAGAGCCCATGAGCCACAACTACTGAGCCCATGTGCTGCAACTACTGAAGCCCGCGCGCCTAGAGCCTGTGCTCTGCAACGAGAGGCCACAGCAATGAGAAGCCCGTGCACCGCAATGAAGAGTAGCCCCCGCTCACCGCAACTAGAGAAAGCCCGCGTGCAGCAATGAAGACCCAATGCAGCCGAAAATAAATAAATAAATTTTTAAGATAATAATAGATAAAAAATAATAACAAAGATGTTTTAAACCTGGAATAGACCCCACTGCACTGTGCTGGACTGTGTCAAGCCTGAAAGGCACTGAACAAACATGAATCCCTGTCACACCCTGATTCAACAGGTGCAGCATGACACCCCCTGGTTCTCTGATCAGGAAGTTTTCTTCTTAATCTCGCCACGATCCACCCATCGTTAACGCCACCGAGCTCAAGTCTCACAGGCCACACAGGTTGTTGTCACTCAGCTCCTGGCAACCACCCTGGTGCTGAGTTGCAGGCCTAGCGTGCAGGCACCCACTTCGATACACGTTGAGGCTCCATCTGGCCCACAGGCCCTCCGGCCCCGTACCCAGCATCCTTCAGGAAATTGGACTCAACACCCGCTTTCCACTCTGCTCATTAAAAACCACCACTGCAGCAGGGCTAACCCGGAGCAGCCTCCACGGCGTGGCCCCCTCACTTTGACGTGAGTTGGATTCGGAGAATCAGGTTCATTTACTGCTCCTCTAGCTGCAGGCTCCATCAGCAGCGCACGCTCACCATGGTAACGCTCAGGCCTCTTTTGGGAACCCTTCTTTTCTCTGAGCTTAAAACTATTCAAAGGAAGATCTATCCAAGTTGATCAATTAAAAGACACTTACTTATTAAATACCTTTGCCAAAGTCAAAACATCTACAACGAGAAGCTGTTAAAAGCATAGATTAGAAGCTGTGTTTCCCTGAGACATGTGCTCAATTAGGTTAAATATTTAGCTGGAAGTAAAAAGGCACAGCACAGTCATCCAGAGCAATAAAAGGTCAGAACGCTACCCCTGTGTGAGCCCTCACACAAAGGCTTAGGAGACTGTGGCTTTCAGGGAACAGGGCTCGCGTCTGTGCGGTACCCGAATCGTTCTCACTGCTTTGTGCTCACGCACCATGAGCTCTGGCTAAGGGGATATCGGCTATACTCGTCAAAGGAGAGAACATTGGAAGCATTTAAAATAAATGCCGGTGATTCAAAATCATAAAAGTTTCCCACAGGCTCAAGAGAACAGGAGGAACAAGGAGAAAAAGGATGGAGGGGAAATCTCCTGAAGGATAAAGGGTGATCGGGGCCACGTGGATGCTGAGATTTTGTTTGTTTGGCTAATTTTCAGCAAATAGGACTTGTCTCCTCCTGCCTTCGTTTCCAGGTCTATTTCCTGAAGCTGTCACTGGCTGGCCGTTTGGAAGCCCAGCGAATTCAATTCAGAGCCGTGTTGTCCCTGAAACGTCAGTGTTGTCCCACTCAGTGAAGAAACTGTGATGCCCTGGGATCAGGAGGGCTTATGAGATCAACAGCGCTGATCTGCTATCAAGGAGAACCTCGGTTTCCAACACTTAAGGCTAGAACGTACAAAATAAATTATTTCCTCAACTTAACTGAGCCTGATTTGGAGGGAATATGAAAGGTTGGGAAGTGAAGGTTCTTAATCCCAGGATTCCGGGCTGGAAAGAAGCTTGGCTGGAAAGCTGGGATTCTTCTTTTCTTACTCATGCTAAGAGCATCTATTATGACAGCCCATAATTATATAGACATGGCCATTCCACAGGGCAAATTACATCCACTTAAAGGTCACTGCTATCAAAACACAGCACAGCGTGGTTATCTACTGCATGCCTATAATTCTGGCTCGTGACTCTAGCACTAAAAGGGGTTAAATGAGCCTATGGAAAATCTCTTGTTAGGAGGAACCAAATGTAGTTCCAGCATTCCAGACCCAGAATGGAGAGTACGGTCTCAAAACACAAACGCATACGGATAAGTCACAGACATAATGTAGTCGGTCAACTCTAACAGCGTAATCTGACGTTACTCATGACACGTACACACCTGCCGTCTCCCAAATCAAATAGGACTCTCCCCAGTTACTCACCTAGCACACCCTGACAAACGTCTGCACACGTGGCTACACCAACGATAAACTGAGGGCTGGGACACAATTCCTGAAACCAATTGGGAAAGCAATTGCAAAACACAAGTCACCAGATGCCCAGGGATGGTGACAGCAAGAGTGAAAGAACTTGATAGTCCCAAAATTCATGGAAGAGACCTAGGAGAACATCTACTGCACATACCGCCTTTTATTGCTGAGGATGCTGAAGCCCAGAGAAGGCAGGAGAGCTACCCACAGTCACACAGCCAGGGGTGGCAGAGCAGGAGCTGGTGCCCACGGCCAGCTCTTTATCGCTATACATACTGTGTGGGTGTGTGGGTGGGAAAGCGGGTAGGGGGGAGGGTAGGAGAAAGGCAAAGGCTGAGATAATGACCTGAGGAGCTATGATCTCACCCATTCAGACAACACCCCTATTTACAGGGAGAGGATGAGGCTAATGTATAACACTCTAACAAAATGCCCTGCACCCTGTAGACGCTCATTAAATACTTGACTCAGTGATGACCCCATGTGCTGATGGAAACACTGAGGCGTCAGGAAGTGTCCTATACAGAGAGGAGAACTCAGCTCCATTCCCACATCTGACCTACGCTTTCCCTGCTCACCTACCTCAAAGTGGCAGCCCTACAGCCTTGTATAAAGCTGCTAGCTCCTACCTAAATGGGCCAAGACAGTGCCTTTGGACTGGCTTTTTTTTTTTTCTTCCAAATATTAAAAAAAAATCATTAACTTGTTTTCTATTTAAAAAACATATGTGCATATGGGTAAAAAAAAATCTAACAGGGCTTCCCTGGTGGCGCAGTGGTTGAGAGTCCACCTGCCGATGCAGGGCACATGGGTTCGTGTCCCAGTCCGGGAAGATCCCACATGCCGCGGAGCGGCTGGGCCCGTGAGCCATGGCTGCTGAGCCTGTGCGTCTGGAGCCTGTGCTCCGCAACGTGAGAGGCCACAACGGTGAGAGGCCCGCGTACCGCAAAAAAAAAAAAAAAAATGGTTAAGATGGTAAATTATATGTTGTGTGTATTTTACCACAATTTAAGAAAAAAAGAAGAAAGAGAGGGAGGAAGGAAGGAAGGAAGGAAGGGAGGGAGGGAGGGGGGACGGGGGAGGGAGGGAGGAAGTGGGAAGGGAGGGGGAGGGGGAGGGGAGGGAAGGGGAGCAAAGAAGAGCAAATGAACTCATTGGTGCACCTCATTTCTGGACACCCAACCTTCCTGCAGGCCCCTGAGAGACTTCAAGGGAAGAAAGAAACGAAGCATTTAGGAACAGGCTGAGTTTTCCCAGATTCCAAGGCACCTTCCCAATAGAGAGAGAATCAGGGTCATTACAAACTCAAGAGTCTATTCAATAATCTGTAAGATCTTAGAGGATAAAACTGGGTCCTATAATGTATCCTGTGATACGTGAGCACAGCCTAGTCAAAAGCAGCTGAGTGAGAATCCTTCACTGATGACTGGGGATGGAGAGGGTACATTCTGACAAGCTTTTATTTATTCATCTGAAAACTCCCAATAATGGGAGTCCTTCAGTTCCACATTAATCAGGTTCTACTACCTCATGGTCTGGCTTTTATAGCATTTTGTTGACAGGCACAAATCAGCATTCCAGTCTGAATTTATCATGTTTACGTGGACAGTGAGACCAGGTAAAGACACAGCTTAGGGGAGAACGTGAAATGTGGTTGAGGAGGTGAGGGCTTTAAGAATTTCAAATGAAAGAGAAAAACTAGGCAAAGGCTAAAGATACCTGATTTTGGTCACAGAGTGAAATCTTCTCCCCTCCCCCCATATCCATCTCCCCTCCCCCAAGCTCCTTGGGGTCCTTCAGTTCCACTCGAATGTATTCTCCTCCCCTAAGTCTTTCCATCATTCAGTCCTAACATCCCACATTGCCATGCCCGTGATTGATGCCTCTGTTAGCACTTCCTTCATTCTGCCCAGGATGTCGGTCCTTTATTCATGTGTCTGCCTCCTCACAATCTCCCTCAGAGCCGAGATCCCAGCTCAGTTTCTCCCTGACCATCTTTCTAAACAGGGCATAGCCAATGCCTGGCCCAAAACAGAGGCCTAAAAAAACTGTCTGTTGAAATGAAATGTGGCTGCCAACTCTTGACACTAGAATATAAAACCATGGTTCCCAACCTTGAATTTGCCAACGTCCCAGAGCACCCACATAGGTTCCAGAGGGGCATGGAAGGTGGCTATGGGGGGCTGGAGGGAAGAAGGGCCAAGGAGTTATGCTCAGAGGTGGTAACTGTTGTGTAAAATTGATAGGATGAAAACAGAAGGGGTAGAGATAGTTGGAGTTAAAGGGTGATTTTGACCACATCCAAGGAGTCATTCTCTCCTTAACTTCCCTCTTCAACCATTGCCAAGAAAATAAGGACCATGGCTTGACTTTCCCATCGTGGTCTAGAAGACAAACGGCCCCCCGGCCAAGGGTCGCAAAGCGTGTTCTCTTATGAGACTTGTGGGCCAGGCACTGAGCAGAGCACTTCAAAGGATTATCTCAATTCTCACAACCACTCTGTGTGTGGGGGGCTCCTATCCTTGAGGTTAAATCACTGACAAGGGTCACAGAGCAGTAGGTCATGGGCCCAGGTTTTGGGGGGATGGTTCTACATCCCTTGCCCTTGAGATCTGGCGGGGGGGGTAATCAGTGACAGCATCCCAGAGTCCCTGACTCCCATCTGTATTCACAGACCCCCAGCCCCACCTCTCCACTCCCTAGCCTCAATAGAACAATGACAATTCACAACCCTGCACACTTCAGCAACGACGTCACAATGTACCCCAGGACTGATTACTTCTAGCATTGGTTTTCTCCATCTTGCACTGGCCCAGGGGTCCTAGGCAATAGCTACCATGCCTTCTGTGCCTGTTATATGCCAAGCACTGTGCTCTGGCCTTTATCTCCAGTCCTTGTACCAACACTGAAAAATAAGATGCCAGTAGCACCATTTTACAGATGAAAAAACTGAGGATCACAGCAATTATCTGTCCAAGACCACACAGGCAGAGGCAGGATTCAAATCTAACTTGTCTGGTTCCAAAGCCAGTGCATGCCTTCCCTCTATACATTATCACCTCTGAAAAGATGTTTTTTAAAGTGGAGGGGTGGGGGTAGGCTGAAATACGGGTTACAGGAACATAGGGCCAAGAACCATAACTTCTCCCTCAGCTACTTTTGACCAGAAGCGAGGGCCCTCCATCCTGACACTCAACAGCAAACCCATCTCCTTACCACGGGCTGCTTCCAAACAATGCCTTGAGTCTGGGGGGAGCATGGTCCAAGATCCTCGTAGTCCAAGGCTGGTGGGGACGCTGGGAACTCTGGATCCTTAACTAGGACCCCTGAGTCCAAGCACTTCTGCCTCAGGGTCTCAAAGTCCTGGCCCAAGTACTTCACGGCTTTCTGGTTGGAGCCAAGACCTTCAGCTGCCGCCTGCTGATACTCAGCCACCAGCGCTGCCATGGTCGAGGGCTCCGTGGGGTAGACAGAGGGGCAGAGCTGCTCTGTGCTGTCAGAGATCCGCCCCACGGGGAGGGGAGCTGTAAGGCAGTGTGAAGGGGAGGTGGAACAGGTAAACATCTCACCCGAGGCCCTGCTCCAGAGGGAAGTGAGTCACAGCCAGGAACAGATATGTACCCAAGGTGCAAATGAATCTGCCCCACCCTCCCCTTCTGCTTTCAGCAGACAATTTGGAGGCTGGGAAACTTCCAGGGCCCCTCCCAGGCCATTAGCCTAAGAAATCCATTAGGATCACAGCCATCCATCCCCATCTCATTGCAAGACCCTGCTTACTTCCCATTGGTCCCATCAGCTGAGATGAGAAGGCTTATTGGGCAGCTTGAGGCCAGTATTTTCCAAGGAATTGGTTCTCAGCAGGAGGGCAAGGGGTTAGAGGGGTCTCCTTTCCTTCCAGAAAAGTTTAGTTCCATATTCGCTAGGAGGACAAAAATATCAGAGAAGGGTGATTCATGGAGTGGATCAGAGTAACCCCAAGCAGAGGTGTCCCTCTACAAGTGAAGGCTTTGGCCTTTGCCTGGGTATCTAGCCCAACAGCACCAGTAATTAGCTCTGTCACCTTGGGCAAGTTAGTTAACCTCTCATCCCCTTAATTTTCTCACCTGTAAAGCGAAAGGTAATCGTAGGTTCTACCTTATAGGGTTGTTTGGAAGGGTGATGAGATAGTACACGGAATTTGCTTAGAATAGTACATAAGAAACACTCAGGAGGTACCAGTCATGGTTATTCCTAGGAACCAGGACCAGAAAGAGAAGGCCTGGGGAATAAGAGTTGTGGGTTCTAATCTCAGAAGGGAAATGGGCTCTGGGACCTTGCATTAATCGTTTTTCTCAGGGTTCCAATTTCCGAGGCCTGGTTTACCCTAAGGATCTGGAACGTCAGTGATTTTTGAACCTGGGAGGGGGAGTGGCTGAAAAATGGTCCTCCAAAGATACTGAGTCCCAAACTCTGGAACCTGTGAATAGTACATACCATATTTGGAAAACGATCTTGGCAGTGGTGATTAAGGATCTTGAAATGGGGAGATTATTGTAGCCCTAAATGGAATCACAAGGGTCCTCATGAGACAGAGGCAGAGGGAGACTTGACAACAGACAAAAAAGGAGAAGGCAGTGAATGAATAAACACCCACAGGTATAAGATGCCCAGTGGTTGGATAGATACATACCAGGTAGAGTGGACCCAGCATCTTCAGGCAGGGAGCTCATGAGATTGTTTTCCCTGCTTCGGTTTCTCCCCGAGCCTCCCGGGAACACTCCCTTTAGACTGACTGAAATGAACAAGCCCTTCTCCATCTAATCACTGAGTAAGCACAGCTGGTGATTTCCCTTCTCCATAAGGGTCTCCTTTGGGGTTAGCAATCTCTTTCCCACCCCACCTGCCTAAATCACCTCCCTTGTCACGTCCAGATGCTGCATGAACAAATTCATCCTCATCTAGGGAGACAGGTCTGAGCTGCTGGGAAGAGAGCCCTCATTTTCCGAGCCAGGAGCCATCTCTGCTCACCAGCCCCACCTGAGCTGACAGCCAACGTCTCCCCGTTACCCAGCCGGGTTCCCGCTGGCCCTGTCAACCTGAACAGACATCTCCCCAGCCTCACACCTCAGACACCCCACAAGAGCCACTGCCAGGTCCACCCAGGAAGCCCAGGATCCACAACAGAGGCCGATGAGGCCGGGCAGAAACACACCTGCCGGCACCGACTAGTAAGAACACTTCTAGGCAAACAGCGTTGGTGAGTGCAGCTCATATACAGCGCTCAGCTTATCCACAGCGGCTCCTCTCGGCCAGAAGGACAAGGCTGCATTGTGTCCTCAGCAAGGAAGACAAATCACCCCAAAGCCCAAGTGTGCTTTTCAGACAAAGTCTGCAAAGCTCTTTGTCATGCAGAACCTTAACTTCAGTCTCTCTCCTGGGCCTTCCCATTTCAGAATTCTAAGGCAAGCATGGGGTGAGTCCAGTGGCAAGAGGATTACAGAGTTCTCGTACATCGCTGGTGGGAATGGAAAATATACAGGCACTTTGGAAGAGAGTTTGGCAGTTCCTCAGAGTGACAGAGTAACTTCTAGTAACATTCCACTCCAGGGAATTGAAACAGACTTGAAAACTTAAGTCCACACAAAAACTTCTACTCTGACGCTCATAAGACATTATTCACAGTAGCCAAAAAGTGGAAACAGCCCAATGTCCGTCAACGCGTGAATAGACCAACAAAATGTAGTACAGCCATGCAACTGAATATTATGCAGCCATAAAAAGGAATGAAGTACTGACATAGGCTACAACATGGATGACCCTTGAAAATATTATGCTAAGTGAAAGAAGCCAGTCACAAAAGGCCACAAGTTGTGTGCTTCTAGTTATATGAAATATACGGAATCGGCAAGTCCACAGAAACAGAGTAGATGATTGGTTGCCGGAAACTGAGCAGAGAGGGGAACGGGGACTGACTACAAATAGGTATGAGGTTTCTTATCGGGGGTGATGGAAATGTTCTGGAATTAGATAAGCAGTGATGGTTGCACAACATAGTGAATATAATGAAAAAAATCACAGAATTGTATATTTTTAAATGGTGAGTTTTGATTATGTGAATTATATCTCAATTAAAACTTTTAAATAAAAGAAAATAGTATTACAGAGACGATGGCCTGCTGTGATCCACGCGTTCATGAGTCGTCTCTAGGTAAAAGATGGGTTCCCCGTCTGCCCAGGACAGGAAGTATCCCATCACTCCAAAGAGTGCCAGAGCTGTAAGACTGATCCGTATCTAACCAGCTCTGAGAAAACAGAAGGCTGGGAAGGCCAGATGTGTGGGCTCATCGCTCTCCAGGTCTGTGGGATCGCACACCACCCCAGTCTCTCATCCCTGGCAGGAAAGGGTGGATCCGCTCAAGCCCAGCTAGGAGGCTAGCTGAGACTGCCCCCCAGTGGCCAACCCAGACCCTGCGGACCCAGCGTGACTAATGTAAAAACTTACGTTTGAATAGAGGTAGCACTTTCAAGTCCATGACCCATTAGAGAGTCACAGCAAGTCTATGGGTAGATTGTACTGTCAGGCTAACCCAAAGTTACTCACATGGCAAACTTGACCCTAAGTCTTCTGATTTTATTTATTTATTTTGTTGTTGTTTTTGTTTTACAGTATTTTTTAATTAATTCTTTTATTTATTTTTATTTTTGTCTGCCTTGGGTCTTCGTTGCTGTGAATGGGCTTTCTCTAGTTGCGGCGAGCAGGGGCTCCTCTTCGTTGCAGTGCGCAGGCTTCTCACTGCAGTGGCTTCTCTTGCGGAGCACAGGCTCTAGGCATGCAGGCTTCAGTACTTGTGGCTCGCGGGCTCTAGAGTGCAGGCTCAGTAGTTGTGGCACACAGGCTTAGTTGCTCCACGGCATGTGGGATCTTCCCGGACCAGGGCTCAAACCCGTGTCCCCTGCATTGGCAGGCGGACTCTCAACCACTGCGCCACCAGGGAAGCCCAAGTCTCCTGGTTTTAAATTCCATGTTCTTTCCAGGGCACAGGACCTACACTGCCTACCAGTGGGAAGCCCTGGCCTGGGCAATAGGCCATGAGGCAGGATACCTGAGAGAAAGAAGCCCATTGACCATTCGGCTCTCCAACCCACAAGCCTTCTCTGCACCAACGCTTTGCTGGGCAGGGGCAGCCACCAAGTAGAAGGATCAATAGACAGGTAAGCACCACCCCTGCCCACAAGGAACTTCAATGCTATAGGAGAGACAGAACAGCACTCAGAGAAAGGAGCGGCCAGTTCTGAGGTGACAGATGATAAGGAAGGCTTCATGGACGAGGTAGCATTCCAGCTGGATCCTGAAGATTTAAGGGACTTGAAGGATGATTAGGATTTGAAAGAGGGCAGTGAGAAAAGGGCATTGGAGACTAGAGAAGCAGCAAGAGTAAAGGCAGGAAGGACAATTAATATCCTTCAGAGCGGCTGGAGTGGGGGATGAGGTGATGGACTAGATGATACGGTTTGTAGGGGCTTTGAACATGGAATTTTTCTCTATAGTTAAGGGGCAATCACTCTAAACCAGGCAAGAATGGATGACGGCCTACATAAGGTAGTGGCCGTGGGTCTGGGCAGGTGGCGAGATGAATTGCCAAGGGTCCCTCCTCTGCGTGTACAGGAGTGGCCGGGAAGGCTGGGTGGGACAGGGGACATGGCCAGGATACCGCTGGCCTCACGGAGACCCTCTCCCACCCCACCCCTAGAGCTCTAATGGTTCAGGACTCATGTTTTGAGCAAATAGGGGCAACGTGATTTCCTCCAAAAAGGAAACTACTTCCTAGAAAAAAAAAAAAAAGCTTGGAAAAAAGGTGAGAACTGTCCTGGCCCAGCCTGTTGTAGAAAACAAGGCCATGGAAGGCTGGAACTGTGCACATCTAAAATCTATCATGCAAGGCTTCAGAGTGCCATGGGTAATTGCTGGAGCTTAGTAACTGTTTTCGAGGTCGTTCTTTTGGGCACGTCACTATGTCACACACTCCCTTGCCCTCTGTCCCTGCCGCCAGGGGGCCATGGATGTACCTGCATCATCAGTTTTCTGCTTCTCTACGAGGTCATTTCCTTCTGCATACAACCTTCCTTTAACTTCTCCTCTTTCTAAACTTTCTTGAACCCATATCCCTGATCCATTTCTCCCTTTCCTTTTACAACAGAATTTCATCAAAGGGGTATATACATTCACTGTGCCTAATTCTCCCCTCCCAGGCTCTTTTACTATCCCTCCAGGCAGATTTTCAGGATAAACCACTGTGGCAATGAACCTCATGACCACGATGTTGCTAAAACCAATGGTTATTTCTCTGTCCTCATCTTACTTGACCTATGAGTAGCAATTAGTCACAGATCAATGCTCTTTCCTTCCAGAAACAGAGTGGGGGGAAGAATTTCACGAGGGATGTCCTTGAGTGGGCAAGAAAGGATCA